TATATTAAGCAGTCGCCTCCTCTTTTGTCAACTCTATCGTTCCTATAGATGTCGTAGTTGTCTATTACTAGCTTTGAGTCAGGTATATCAGTAGTAAGGCAGGTTTCAGTCACCATTATTAGTGTTGGCCGTTCTATGTATGCCAGGCAGCGAGGCGATGTTATTTTGTTAAGGAGAGATCTAGCATTCAGGAGCATAATCGTTGGTAAACCAGAGTTATTGGAGGAGAGGTTAACATGGTTACTCGTTACTATCCCTACGTTATGTTTGGAGGGGCTCTGAGATGAGACAGAGTCAGTGTGTGTACTATTTCCTGGATGAATTGTGCAGCGAGTGGGGCTATTGTTTGCTGCATCCGAAAATAATCCTGTTGCATGTTTTGACTTTTAGCATCCATGGGTGAGCATCTGCGTTCATTTACTGGTGATACATAGTTTGCTTGACCTAGGTACCCTGTGTTAAGATTACCTTGGTAGTTGTATCTCATGGGTCTTTCATAGTCCTATGCATATTGGCTCACATCACATGTGTGAGTGAAGTTATTGAGAGGGTCAATTGTCGATCTATACTCATTATGTTGATGAGGTTTAACATAGATAGTGTGAGAGTTTGGACGAGAATATTCACTAATATGGTGCCTGTATGAGTCCCGTTTAGTGCTCCATATATCCTGATGATCCATTCTACGTCGCATTCCCAAGTTATGTGCGTTGCTAGGCATATTACTCCTAGTTCGGGAAGGGGTATTCTTACTCACATGATGGATGACGTTTTTGGGAATATGGTTTTTTACCCATGCATTGTCATTTTGTAGACTGATATGTTGCCTATTAGACTTACTGAGATGGAGGTATGTCGAAGTCTGGAGTGAGACTCTAGGCTTTGTGGTCTTTCTTACAGTTTCTACTGCCGGACTCTCGGGCTTGCATCCAGAGTGGGTGTGGTCTGCCAGTGGTTTCTGGTCAGCCATAGTTTGTGAGTCAATATCAACCTCATGTATGTCAGCAGGTTTTCCAGATGTGCTCTCATGTACTTTAAGATTGCACCCAGTGACACTGCTCTTACTGAGTTTCGAGTCGCTTTTACTTGCCGATTTTTTTCCCAACACTATACAGGTGACTTGCTGTGCTTCAGTGTCCGTCGACACTTTAGCACTGATACCAGGTGCATTTCTCGGTGTGTTCAACTTTGTATCGAAGGAGTTCTTGGTTGCCTGCCTTTGGTTAGTTGTTTTATCCGAGACTACTTTAATAGTCTTGAATTTAGTGGCAGTAGCCAGAAGATCTTCGGCCTTCTTAAATCGTTCAGCTATTATGTAGCTGTCGAACCTAAAGAGTATGGGACATGGATGCTTTAGGTCTTTTTTACTTAGGCGAATGCATTGACAAGGTGCACTCAAGAGATTTGCAGCCTTAAACAATGAGTGCTGGGCCGACTTTATGGGCTCGCAATCTGGTACATTATACACTATAGCGTTTTGTTTCGAAGCCAGCCTTTTAACAACTTCGCTGGATAGAAAGTCAATGGCGTTTTCTAACTCCGCATTTTCTGAGTCAGTAGGCGTCATTCTAGAGGTCATATTAAAAAGCTTTAGGATTGTAGGATCCTGCAGTTCCTTTTTCATAAGTGAGATAGTTTCGGGTATACATTCTAATGAACTTAACTTCGTTTTTAATTCATCTATCTGTAGCTGCATCTCCTTAATAATGCATGTTAAGTAAGAGAGCTCTACCTTTTCAGACAGAACATCTTCCACCTGTATTACAGGGGTCAGAGTTATGTTCGAGTCTTTTATGTTGGGTGAACTACTACTAATAAAGGGTGGTAATGTGTTATTAGACGAGCTGGTGCTATTTTCTAAATTACTGGTGTCCACACGAACACTCTTTTTAGAATTTCGGCCCATCGTTATTAAAGATCAATCAACAGTAAGCAATAAATGAATATAAACGAAAACACGTGCAAAAGCGTCACCTGGTTCGAACGTGCCGGGCAAATGAATCATCAGGTATCATTGATAAGTCTGACATCTGCATCGTCATGCAAAAAGACCTAGTTTCACTCAGAGAGAATAAGAAAAGTGTTGTAAGGAGGATGTTAAATCTGTTTCATGAAAAAAATAAGCAAATGTGTTTACACAATTGTTTTTCTTACTTATGTAGCTCATGTTGAATTGCTTTGACCAAGTTGACTGACATTACCGGATATCTGTAAATAAGTGAACAAAGTGTATGCTTTTAAATCGCTGAAGTAAGGAAGAAGTAATATTAAAGTTAAACGCCTTATATTTGCATACCTTCGCTGAAAAAGGTTCATTTTCCTTTTTCATTCTTTGGTAATGCCAGCATTCTTCTATAGTTTTCAATGTCACACAGAGATTGTTCGTCTTATACAGTATAGCAGCAAGCGAATAATAGTAATTTAATATGTCTTATAAACGGGTATTTACAAGGAATGCATGTATTTTCTACAGGCACAATAAGTTATGTAATAAATTACAATCCTCAAGTACCATAAAATAATACTTTTCCAAAAGTTTAAGTCGTTCAATTAGTGTACAAGTAATTAGAACAGGTTATGATAAGTGTTAACTTGTAAACCATTCAAAATGAATACTGTACAGAAAACTTCATCACATCTTCATTTTAACCAACCTTTCCTTCCCGCAAAGAGGCATGCAGTCACTACATACACTCAAGCATTGTAACCTGAAGATTACAAAATCCCTACAGATAACTTCTTTCATAATAAATGATTTCAACATATGAGCCATGAGTGCATCTTCCATATCCTCCATAGCCACAAGTAATTCATTAAGGATCTCAGAATATTTTAGTGATCCGAAGACGAACAATTGTTGAGACTGCGATTACTAATGTAACAGGCGCAGTAGTTGTAGGACGCACCTGCTAGCTACTAATCGACAGAAAGTTGATACTAATTTTAAGTAGTCTGACATTTCACGAGGACCACCTACACTATTCTTCGTGACCCGATGCACACTTATATAAGCATAATCTGATGCCATTTTTGACAATGAACAATTAAGGCCTTCTGACATTCCAAGTGCAAATGTCAATTAAACTAGTATCATATCTTCGCACAAGCAATTTTAACTGGGAACTTCATCAAAGTAGATATAATCACCAGGAAATTCAGCAGCCTGTCTCTTTCATCGCATGATCTCTTCCATGTGCTATGGAATATTTCAGTCATCACAGATGATAAAATAAGTGTCTAACATCCTCAAAACACACATCTAACTTATGTCTCTAGGCTATTTCTCTTTCAAATGTAAGATTCCCATAGAATAACTGGGATGACAACAGCCATTGCCTGCAGTCAATTTACAACCTTAAGATCTGAAACAACTCACAAAAAACAATGCCTCAATGCTCTAAAACCCTAATAATAGTCTTTTTATGCGATATTTTTTCAAAATGGTGACTTTTTTCATTAATAATTCGTCTAGGCTGTCATGATAATTTTACGCATTACTACGAACACAATACAGAAAAATGTTGCTTTTTTCGGCTACAGAAGCCTAAAACTAGTCAAATATAATCTATTTTCACAAAACTGAGCGATTAGAACGTCTCTATAGGCGTGAACGCGATAACCCATACAATGCGCGAAAACACATCGTCATAGAATTTAGCCTCACCCCCCTATGGGACGAGTAAGTTCAAAAACTCCGCATTAATTTCATTAATTTATCCGATATTCACTTTACTGTTGCGCTGATGCATATTATCATCCACAGATGCTTTTGGTCTGTAATCTGTCAATATTACTGATTCAGCGTTATTTAAAACATCATTTAAATAACAATAATTTTTTAATTATTGACACAGATGTGGAACCTGACGAAGAGTCATCGAGAAGATATTCTTTGCTCATTAGTCAGTCTTTTAGAGATGTAGATTTCCTCTATATTGTGTTGGACCTTAATGCCATCGTCCTGAAGGGTAGTGGTTCTCACTGAGTAAGAGACCTTGATGCTATCTGCGACATGAAAAGCTTCCAATCTTCTTATTATTGTCACCTAGGTGATTCGAGCAGATAGATTTTACACTCAACAATTGCATACAGTATACTCCTACAGACTGTTGGTATTCCTATAACTTATTTCCCCAGACCTTTCGCAGTCTGAATAGCCTACCATTATCAAATATCGTGCGAATATTCCTTGTCAGCATGCTAATTTTTGCTTCCATCGAGAAAAGATGCATCTTTCTGTTTGCTTCCTGAAGGCTTTCACCAGCTGGCACAATTTCACCACCTAGATTCCAGTGAGGAGCAAATTTACATCATGTGTTTTGTCTATATCTTGAAATTTTGGTAGCAGTTGGGCTTGGGACCAGCCGGTAAACTGAAACACTAATATTCTGGGCGAGGCTGTGGAAGTGTTTGATTATTAATAACCAAAGCATACAGAATTATTATTTACTCGTGTTTTCTTTTTTACTGTCCTTCTATCCTCTTGCACTTCCAGTGTTTTATTATTTAGGGAATTGCTTGATGACATGATGCCCATGTCTCGGAAGGTATCACTGATATCCACCTTTATAATACACTCATAAGGACTACATTAGACAAGCGCATAAATGAGCCATCTTACAGTCAGGAAATATTTTAGGAGTGGAAGGATATCGACTATTATGTAAGACTTGTTCCACGCAAATTCAAATGTTTGTCCTTCAACTCCAAAAATACTTGTTCTTCCCAAACCAAAAGAAGCTAAAAACAGCGGATCGGTTGCCCGAAACAGGAGACATTTTTCGGGGTCAGAAACACAGAGCGGTGATGACTACCTAACTAGCTAGGGATGGTGCACGAACCACCGAACGCAACACGACAGCGTAACAAATGTTGGGGATGCTTGACCTCATACCTTTAGTTTAATAAGTTGGTTTAGGCAGTGAGGTCTCACACCCGGTGGTGAGTAAAGAGTGCTGTACACTGACAATTTTTTGGAATTATCCGACACTGCAGTTGTTATGGATTTTCCTGAACACCAAGACATGAGTTCCAAGAGGTCAGTGGATTTATAAGAACCTATTGGAAATGCATTGAACCCAGGTGACGTATCGTGAGTGTGAAGAAGTGAAGAAGTTCAGTAGTTTTTGAACTCCCAATACAGAAAAAGGAGCAGTTGTGTAGTCCTAGTCTTCCTTTACATTACCTAAGTATAAAAGTGGGAATAATGAAGTGGTTATGAGAAGCATTCGCGCAACTCCTGTGAACTGGCAAGCCATCCAAAAACAGAGAAGCGAACACCAAGAAACTAACAGATTCATAGAAACCTGTCATAAATATGTTGGAGTTAAGGGAAGCTTTTCCCAGGTGTCAAGGTAGATGCATGTAATTTACTGAAAACTTGTGATCTTAGGGGATGAACGGTTCTCATTAGCACATAAAGTAAAATTATATGATAATGTGCGTATATATCCCGTAAACCCTAACTTAATTGTTCTACGTAGACTGGAGAACAGTTAGCAACCCAAATGAGAACAGTAGTATGATCGTCCAAAATACGAAGTATATTTAGAAATCAGTAGTGTTGTGCTTAGGTAACTTGAGGTCGTGCAAGTACAACCGAACGTAACATGACGACGTGCCAAAATGGCGTGAGTATTTGACTTCGTACCTTCAGCCTAACCAGTCGACTTAAACAGTGAAGATCAGCATCCAATGTTGAATTGAGAAAGCTGTAGACTAGCGATTTTGAGGCATCATGTAGTGCTACAAGATCCCCATAAACACTTACACTCCAGGAATAGACACAATACCATTAGCCTACTATCATTAACACAGACTCAACTCAAGGCTACCAACCCTGATTTGGACTTCGAAGGTCGGCGCTATATTTGCTACCATTGAACAGTTTTGTAATGTGAGTTCATGCTATCTTCTGACTGGCTTAATTTCGATCTAGGAAGCACTACCTTCGATATTTACGAAACAACGACATTAAATCTCCCTTAGTTGTCAATGAAGATATTGTGCGTTCAGTATATAGATTCGAACTACCAGCTTGTTCTGTCGGTGGCTGTCAGTAAGTCCAACAATGCAATGCTGTATTTAAACATTTCATATTACTCTAACTATGTACATACTTTCGTGGAATTTTATAATTTTTATTCAGATCTGTCTGAAACCATTGTAATGAGGTCATGTGCACGTAAACGAAACGGCCATTTCATTGACGAAGTATTAATCAATATCAGTATTAATTCGATCCCATGCTTAGGTAGGACCCCATCTAATAACGAACTCTCCTTTTGCAAACATGCGAGTTGAGTTAAAAATTGGGAAAATACTCTGATAACGAGTTTACTGAGCAATAATGCTAAGTGTCAAAGGAACACCGTAAACGTCGCCTCAAGTGTAACTTGTCATAGAACTTGTTCTTGTAAGATTCAAGGATATACGATAGTCTCCCAATAATTGTCACTAAATTGTTAAGCTTTTCAATTTCTTCACTAATACCGCAGTAGTTGTGTTTAAGTGTGATCGAATATTGCCATAATGCTGAAACCTGAGGATGAGTGAAAGGAACGGTTGTATGGTAGTTGGACATTCCCAATTGTTCCATACTGCATTACAGCCATCTGTTTTTCTTAGCGACAAACTAGGTTTTCCTCCTTGACTGCTTTAAATAATGATTGCCTTGGTCGTATACTGCTGCTTGTCGTTTTATTTCAGAAACTAAATACGTTTTTGTTCCTTTAATTATTTTAATAGGTTCGAACAATGTGTGAATATAATTAGGCATGATTAACTTTCTATCTTTGACACAAGCATATATTGTGAAGAAAACTACAGCAGTTTTGTTCAAGATCTACTGAAACTGTATGGATTTTAATTCTTTCAAATCAGTATGCCTGTTTGCTTGTAGTTGAACTACCAACCATTTTAGCAAAGGATTTTCTGGTGTTATATCACTAGCTCGTGTCTATTTCAATTTGATTTGGAATTAATCCTAACAATCCGTTTTTCTTGACGTAACTTCTGGTTGCTTGTGAGCTGACTTACATGCTTTTTGCTTGTAATTTTTAACAAAACTGTATTCACTACAGAATGATTGGTTCTCATTCATGTTTCATCATAATCAGTTCTCAGCGCTAATTAGTGCGGCTGCAATGGGTACTTTCTAGGTGCTGGTTAACTAGTGAAGCTGAATGTCAAAATGTGTGTCTATCAGAAAAATGTTTTTGATCTAAAGTCCTTTCGTATGATTTTCTCAGATTCACCATATAAACACTGTAGCAGGTATACTTGCCATTGTTATTGATAGTTGGGATAAATTGGCAACGATATATATATATATATATAAATTATAGGTTTCCAGGCCGTAGGTGGTACGAACTTCGTGGAATATTTTGAACGCGGAGTCAGATTAATTCATTATAAATTCTCTTTTATGCAGCGGCTGGGTAAAGTACCTTACTGATTCAATTAAGAATTGTTTTTAATTATATTCTGCAGCTGTAAGCGCTTCCAGGTAGTATGCATTGGATACTGTGGTTTTGTTTTTATGGAAATGATTGTCATATACTTAATATATAAGTAAGCCGTACTTCTCAACTGCTTGTGTTTACACTTGAGGAACAATAGATCAGTGTGGCGTCATTAGTTTATGTCAGTTCTTTTGTATTAAATTTTATTGAAATATATGGCTTCAGCTGAACATAGTTAAAGTGTTTAAACTTCCAGAACTACGAGTAGTATGGACATTTAATAGCTGAAAGTGTTTCTGTGAAGGGAGAATAGGAGTTATAAGGGAACAGAGATAAATCACGGGCTAGAAATAAGGGAATATTAGGTACTTGATAAGGATTTTTCCACTCTTATTTTCACTTTTTCCTATTCACTTTTGTGTCAAACAAGAATAATGTACATTCACATCACTTCTGTTTTTTACACAAGAAGGCCAGGTGCAAGAAGTCAAGTGGTACTGACAATAAATCTAGGGTGTTATTTGTAAAATGTTACTTTGGCTTTCATCAATCAGGTTTGAACTACATCTTTGTTTCGATATGTTTTTATGGTTTTTTTTAAAGTGTCCTACCAATTTCTGTTTTATTGATAATATCTGCAGTCCACATTTCTGCATGAAATGAACATTAATCATGTCGACTTACGGTGTGTGGTAGCCTAGATTGTTATTCAGTAATTCCAGAAGTAATTTGTTTGATTCTGAAATACTTACAGATATCTCTGCCATTTAGTACTCAACAGTTTTTATTGAAATAAACTTAGTTTATTTAGAATACCTAACTAACTTTCACTCTTTGTCCCGCAGGAATACGTGTAAATATTTGTCTTCCTGTCTAAATGGTCTACTTAAAATAAAAATATCTGATGACGTAATATGTAACGGTGATGAAACGGATCCGACTGTTGAGCGGATACAAGTGGTAAGCCATATTTCACTTCAAGATTATATAACCGATATTTTCTTAATTCAATATAAACTCAGGATATTTGTTCAATGTATTATATCCAGAATTTATCTTCACTTTGACGAAAGTTTATGGTAGAAACAAGTAGAACTTTGTTACCCTGAGGAGATTTATTTCATATACCAGGTTACTAGTCACATTGTATGGCGGTTGGTGACACCACCCAGTCGCCTAGACTGAATTGAAGTGAGATTCAAACTTGAGACCCACTAACTGAAGGTCGACTGTTAAAGCCGCTAAACTACGTCTTTTCATAAAAGTTAGGAAGATTGTTAGGAGTAAACCATGTATTGTATGTATCTGTTGAATGACCAAACAATTGTTTAGTTGATTCGCATGTGTGTAAGACTTAGGGAGTGCAAATTATCACGCCTTAAGTTGTGGGTTATTCCACCACTTATTCGGTTAAGTCAGATTTTACGCTATATTTTATGCACTTCCTTAAACCACATAAACTGAGGTGTCCCATTTTGTGAATATGAATTGTGTTTTCTGTGTGAGGCTATGACTTATTGCTTTACATACTGATCATCCAGTCATCAGGATTTGACAACTTCTAACATCTGATGGTGTTTGGGCAGTAAGATAGCATTGTTTATCGCCTCCCCACGGAATACGTGTGGTTCACTGCCAACTGAGTGGATATGCTAGTAGTTAGTTAGTTAACATCATTATATCACTACTAAAATTATATTTACTAGGAATTCTTTAGCGTAAAAATAATCTCATATGATTTATCAATTTTGTATTATATACAACCGTCTGCTCCAAATCTAACGTTAATATCGTTACTGATTACGTCGTAAATACTTCGCATTTTCAATTAATTGACTGTAAATTTATGTAGCGCCTTAAAAGTAGCTCGAATTTTGTTCGGAGTTTACATGAATAACCAAACAGTAATTGACTAATGAATAATAATTAGTGTACATTCTTTGTTATTTGTCTAACTCAGCTTCTTATTACTGCACAAAATGTTATATTGTTTATAGTACGAGATTTTGCGTTAATGTAGAAACGTTTCCGTCTAAGAATATATGTTATTTTTATCACGTTCATACTTTGTAACTGACTGACAAAACAACGTAGAACTTTGTACATAGTAAATCTGTTAAAGTAGCTGTTCTTCGAAAAAATATGAAAGTACTCGTGTCGATCAATCAGTAGCATATTGTTTCATTCATTCATGCTTGCTTTCTTGATTAACATTTATAGTATCAAGCAGATGGCATATTGGGATTTAAATAATTTCGGTTTTCAAAGAAATCTGTGTTCAAATTGCAAATTGCCAATTTGATTTAAGGTATTACCGGGTTGCTGAAGTAACTAGTCGGCTTCCTGAGCTGCGCCTAACAGAGTACACCTCTGATGAACTCCGCCCCATATGAAGGGAACAGCCGTCCGGTGTTTAGATTACTTCGATCTGGCTAGCAAACATTGCTACTGGTTGATGTGAGTGGTGTACAACTATTCATCTCAGTCAATAAGTAGTACATAGAACCATGCATGGCTATCATGATTACGTTGCACTAAAGTCCCCTATACTCATACTTATCTCGTTTTCCTATTGATATAACGGTACAAATGATTATACTTTGAGGTTCTCAAAAGTAAGCCTCTTGCTCAAAAATCCCTTAGCTGATTCAGAGAATGACTGGGACAGTGTCATTTTACATGACAGTAACATGTTCAACAGTCTACTGGACTCTGAGTGATAATTTTAGATTTACAAGACCACTTGATGTCTCTCGTTCGTCACTGTGTCCGTTTGCATACTTTTGCCTGTATGTGATGTGGTTTGAAACTTGATTGTTGTGTAGTATTAATGAAGTACAAATATTACAAAAATTTCTTTTGCTTTCTTTCTAAAATCAAGCACAGTCGCAATGGTTTGAAAAATTATGGAAGTACGTGTTACTTGAATGCATTTTTGCAATTATATTTTCGTTTCAAGGAGCTACGAAAAGCAATATACAATGTAGCTTCACAAGGTGAGTGATTTATTTATACAATTCATGGTTCTCATGACTGGAAGCTTTCATTCTGAATGATTATTTTTGTGTGTGTAAACATTCAGTAAATATTTAACAGTATTTAAATTTCAGTCTAATATTTTTCTCTCATGATTTTAGTTAGATTGTAATTTCACACAGTGATTTGTTATTAACTCTTAGTGTTCTACTGACCTAGAGAATTTATTTCCTTAGACCCATTCATATCAAATATATTAATGTGCGTCGGTGATTCAGCAGAAGAATTCTTTTATATAGTTTGGTTTGTAAGGATTCTTACCAACCACTCCACGAGTGGTCTGGAGTTGGGTCTCGGGCCGACGCACTCTTAAACCTCGCTTTGCCGATAGTAATCCCAGTAAAAAGAAAAGCTTGGGCGTGAGGCTACCAACCCTACTCCGTAAAAACATAAAATCACTGCTAATAAAAATTCAAAGTCCAAGCTTGAAGCCCTATGCTGCACTTGGGACGCAAGGGAATAAAGAAAATGCCGGACATATTAAAATAGGAAGGTCAATGAAAAGAAAACAAGGTATTTTACAATAGTAGATATTAGTGATTTCTTTCAATATATCTCAAGACCATAAGTTTATCTCGGATTAGATAATGTTAGTAAGCAAAAAAACACCAAGCTTTTAATCTTGTTTCACGGGGATACATTATCTTCAGTATTAAAAAAAGCATACTTGGTTCATATGTTCAGATAAATGTAGCAGGGCGTGGTACTAACTAATCTGTAGCATAAAGTTTCGATTCTATTCGTCGGTATTTTCGAAGTTTGATTAGTTTAAAAATATATTTGTCATTGCGGATTATCACCAATGGAAAATTCACTCAAAACTAGCCCGCGTTTAATGCTTTGGAAATGATGTTTTTGTGGTTCACTCTACTCGGTTTCCTTTTCTTTCTTCAAATATTTACGCTAGTAAATAACTAACTTCTTCGTTTTCTCATAAAAATTGTATTTGAATATCATAAACTAAATCATTTATGTACATAAAACCATAAATTGATCATGAAGATTTGTAGGGAGAAACTTCAATTTAGGTTAGGCTGCGTAAGCCTAACTATTTAGCTTTTATGTTAAGTTTTAATCTACTGGAACTATATCTTGCGAAAGCATCTAATATTTACGATATGCTAGTCTCATACGAATGCCTAAATCTCTGGTATGAATTCGATTCGCTTTAACGTTATGTGGAGATGTAGCGTATTGGCTTAAACAACCAACTTTCAGACATTAGGTTCCAGATAAGATTTCCCACTCTGCATACTTTAGCCTAGTGAACTGGGTGGTAGTATTATCAGCCCCCATAGTCTAGTATATTAATACACTGCAATATTTACCTTATATAATACGTAAGATTTTACATATATAAATTACAGTTACAATATGTTTTGGCTATGTAAACGACAAAAGTTGATAATACAAAGTATCGTTAAAATACCGTAAGCGGTTAATCCCTAGTCTGTTTGTCTGGCATTTTAAATATTCTAAATCAGGTGTATTCACTAACAGAATTTCTAGGTATGTGCAAATGAATTCACCAGAGGTATTTCGCTCTACTTCATGTTCAATGGTATTAGTAGTATAGTGCACATCACAAGGTACTCGCTTCGTCGATGTATATACTAAAATTGTAACGATAAAGAAAAGATTGGCATAACCTCTGCTTTGGTTTAATAGTAGACTACTCAGTTGACACGCACGTGATCCAACTGACTCAGTCCAAAACTTCGCATAGTTTACTAGCCCATAGTAAGCTCGGAAGTGTGTGGCATAGCGGTGTAATGCTGGCCAACCACGCATGGGGTTCAGGGTTTGATCCCCGGCCGACGCACTCCTTTACCTCTCTAAACCAGTGATAAGACTGGTAAAGAGGGAAGGTTGAGCATGAGGCTAGCAATCCCATCCCGTAAAAATAAATACTACTGCTACTGAAACTTCGAAGCTCTAGCTTGAAGCCCACTGGGAACGTAAAGGAATAAAATAAATAATAAGTAAGCTCGGAAAAAGGGAGGGTCGCAATCTCACCGCGTTGAAATAACACCACTGGTACTGAAACTTCAATACTTGTAGTCCTATGTTCCACTTGAAATGCAAAGAATGGAAAAATATATCACGAGATTCTTCGATATTTTGCTCTTATTAGTGTTTTATGTATGTTTTATCTATGTACTAACTCACTTCTGTTGTTAAACTATGGTGAATAGTGATATAAGTATAAAACTTGGCACTGTGGTAGAGTATAACTCCATTATGGATAAGATTTTATTTTGATAAATCACACAGTGTTAATATTACTGTATAACACTGTGTGATTTATCAAAATAAAGTCTTATCCATAATGGAGTTATGGTGATTAGTACATTACTAAATTTAGATCACTCAAACGCGTAGCGTATTACTATTTTTATTATTATTATTATTTTGGATATCACCAATCGCATATTATTAGTCGCATGATATGAAATCCACAAATATTTACCTTTAGCCTTACGGATTGAATTGGTGTATATCAGCTCTATTTCCATTTTTCCGCACTACATACCAACCTAACCTCGCCAAGTTTACTAGCTCGCTAGTTTTCTAGCCGGTCCTAAGCCCGGGTAAAGAGGGTAGGGTTAGCGACCCTACATCCCAAGACCAATCAAGTTGGTACAGAAACTCCAACGCACAAGAAATATTTTAAAAATACAAAAAATATAAAACACAAACTTATTCTTCGCTGGAATCGGAGAAATAATTTGCTTCAGCACTAGAGAGTACAGTGCGCAAAGCTTTATCAAGCTCATTCAACAGCTATATGACAGTGCCATGGGTCAGATGATCCACAACGGAGAACTCAGCAAGGCGTTCTAAGTGAATACTGGAGTAAGACAAGCCTGGCTGCATATTATCACCCATGATATTCCTAATTGTAGTAGACTGGAATATGCGTTAGACTGTAGGGAGCGAGGAGACAAGAATACTCTGCACCACCGATAAGAAGGCTCCAGAAGATCTGGATGTCGCAGATTATATATGCCTAGTGTCACACAGACTCGAAGACTTACAGGCGGAAACCAACAGGAACAAAAACCAACACTAATCACTATAAACGGGAGAGATTTGATAGAGTTTACTTCCTTCATTTATTTAGGAAGTATTAATTCAGCCACAGGTTGAACGGATGAAAATGCCAAAGCCAATCAGAATTGGAAGTGCAAGATACGCTTTCATCAACCTGAAACCAGTTTAGAAATCTTCTGCACTCCGCAGCATAGAGAAGAAGATTTGGATTTTCAACACAAATGTGAAGTCAGCCAGTTCTTCTATACGGGTCAGAAACTTGCACTGCATATATATCGCGAAAAGGATTTCCAACAGGTTGGAGACTTCTATCAACAGTAGCCCCCTTCGCTGGCAGCATACTGAAGATCAAATGGCAGGTTGGCCAGAAAGAATTAGCAACAAGAAACTCTGGTTGGCAACAAACCAACCAACAGCCGATCGCTCAACAAATATGTAGGAGAAAATGAAGATGAGTCGAGCACAAGTCGAGGAGGTCGTCGAATGACATCGCGCCTCAGGCCAAAGCCTGAGTGGAATCCTAATGGGAAGCGATGAGTGGGTCGTCAGTGCGAGGGTGACATAGAGGTGATAGTGTGTTGGGGGGGGGGTTGGAAAGAGAGATTATAGTCAGTTGTGGACCCAGCTGATGAGGACGACAGGAAATATAAGAAAGGGGAGGTGTGTTGTTGAAGCCCTATGTTCCATTTGGAACCCAAGGGAATAATAATAGTGTACCAACCAGACCTTTTACTCTGAATTGCATACAAAAACAAAGATTGTAGTTGTAGTAATGTGGCGAGTGCTACTTAGAATCAGATATAAGTAGTACATAAGTGAACGAGTTCAGAAAAGCAACAATATATTTTGGGCACTGAAAAAAGCAATCAAACAAGAGAACTGTTACAAGAACGTTAGAGCACTGTGCAGAATCCAACAAGCTATCGAATGTGGTGATATTCGACCAATTTGCAAATGATGTGCAAATAAAGACTTAAAGATAAGGTATACCAAATTCATGTACCTACAATGCGTTTGTCCTAATAAACATTGCCCTCGAACCTCATCGGTCTTTTCTTCTTTATAGTAGTAGTAGTAGTAGTGATAGTATTGTATCACCAGAATAATCGAAATTCTGCTGTAGTAGTAGTAGTGATAGTATTGTATCACTAGAATAATCGAAATTCAGACAGCCCATCAAACAGAGAGTAATAGCAGTGTAGTATTAAAAGAATTGTTTATCAATCCAGAATGTTGTTAGTTCGTATATTCATTGGCCAAATATGCAGACATACAGAGCTGACAAAAGTAGAATTAAACATTGTCATTTAAATGGGAACAATCATCGCATGCATGCGTATACTAGATTAGAAGCCAAATAGACTAGCTCGAATAATTAATTGTATCACGAGCACATTAGACGTGTGAATGTAAGAATATTTACAAATCATCATATTCATTTTTAATTTTATATAATCATATTACTTTATCCAATACAGTCCTGTAGGAGGTCAACCTCGAGCCTTGAATAACTCAGTGGTAGCGTCTCTGACTGTAGCACTGGGTGACGTGGGTTCGAATCTCAGAAGGGACACGAGTTCCTTCAAGGTTCCAGACACGCCTTACTGATTGGTGGTGAGTGCCAAGTAGCACGAAACCAAGATCAGATGTGGCTTCCTGCCGATTGCCTCCAACCATCTAATACCAACAGTTCACAGTACACCGTGATGGCGAGTCACCTAGCATGGTGGCCACATTGCAAACTTGACTGATAGAATTCAGTCTGCACCAAAGACAGGACTAGACACATTACACTAGTTACTGACTACTGTCCAATCAGAAATATCCAAGTAACCTTTATTTTTTCTGTGTATTTTATTTCCGTTTCTTTGCAGCTGATGAAACTGGTATAATACATCAACTACAACTGATATTTAGTCAGCTTCAATTAAGCAAATCAGGGTAATTCTTTAAAATTATCTGTTATGTATGATTGGTGTGTTTTCCTAAAGACGAAAATTCACTATTATTACGCTTTGTCTGTTTTTATTCAAGTTCAGTTTTAATCATGAGTGTTAATACAGCGTTTTATACTACTATTATAGGCAACTGTGTTTGTTTAGACGTCTAACTGTACTCGTGATATTCGCTTTATGTACAATTAGATTGTGGGTGATTATACAGCATATCTCCAAAATACACTAATTTGAATGAGTACCATTAAGATTATTAGTCAAGACTAAGAATTTCGGATACAATAAGCCATATGTGCTACTACCATGAAACACTGAAGATATAATTTTAGATGTATAACTCGGAAACCTACTGCCTAGATATGAATATCACACAACATGTACTACTACAAAATAACAAGAATTGTACGTTGAAATTGGTGAATTTAGGGCTATGCTTTAATATCACTTGTCTATGATTTACTTAAATTATTCTCAAATACATCGTTAACTAGTGATCTATTGTAATCACATGTACTTTTTTTTAAAAGAAAGTGATTTTAACAATCTATTGCCCTTCATTTTTCTAAGACAAAATAATAGAAAAAAAACAAGGAATTTTTGTATTTTTCAGTTTAAACAAACGATGTACTGTTGATCATTATTTCGTTTATATTTTGTTTACTGCTAAATATTACGATTCAGACACAGTGGGAGAAGGTAAATGTAGCTTGGTTACAGGATTTCGTCATGAGCTGACATCGGTTAGAGAACCAATGGAAAACCTGGGTATACTGGACAACTGTTTCATCCTCGTTTGGGACTCTTCAGCAGTACGCACCCATCGAGGTTCGAACCCAGGACCCTCTGGTCACAAGGCGAGCTCATAGGCCATTAAGCCACTGGGACCTGATCCAATGACCCATGAATTCCAACTTCTGCCATTTGACGACATAGCGCGACCACTAGCCAACGTCTTCGGCGAGTAAATAAAGAATAATTATATTTCAATGGTTTACACACCATAATAAGCTTTGTGATTGGTAATATTTCGAGCAAAATTACTGCTCGTGTTCACACCACTGTTGGAATTGTCTTTTTTCAATTCACACATATATGATTTGTACTCATATATATATATATATATATATACATATATATGAGTACATACATAAGTTCATATTTTTGTTCATTAATTCTTGTGTATTCAGGATTATATTCCTGGTTGTTGACAGTTGTACTGAGTCACCCTTATTTGTCCTCACACTCAACCTGCTGTACCCTACTGGTCACTGCCGTCCTTTAGTCCCAGGTTTTCTATTGGTTCTCTAACCAATGTCAGTTTGTAACGAAATCCTGTAACCAGTCAGTCAAATCCCTACGAACCAATGCGTAAACGTAGATCGCTTGCCTTTTGGTGTTAGTCAGCAAGAAATATCCATAACTTTAAGAAAATCCGTATTCTTCCTTGTATACTTTACACTCTTCTCTATGACTTAGAATTTTTCTCTTAGTATTTATCCTGGGTTTAAAGATTATCTCGTTGATTCATTTATCTATCACAAAATAAATGACTGACTAGTTGCATAACAATTTTTATCAACTATTATCAGGGAGAGCAATAGCTGTAAACAAAAGTATGCACTGACATTCTACACTAAAATATTATGGAGCGGCTAGTCACTAATGTTTCTTTATCATTCATTACTTAGTAGGAGAAAGTACATTATATTCTACTGTTTAATATTTTTAAATTTTTCTTTTATAAATAACATCACACTTTTAATTCCGTTTTTCACTAATTATATATACCTGTGGCGTGTGCTACTGATAAGACGTCATCAGTAGTATATAAAGAGGCGTTCATCGGCATAAAAACATCAAATATTAGGGGGATAGATTCGATGTCAGAGAAAGCAAATGATACAGCGTTGCAGAGATACATAGGAAACGTGAAAGGAACACAAAGAAACACAATGCGTTGGTGGCACGGCGTTTACGACGCTCTCTGACCATGCACATGGTCCGGGGTTCGATCCTCGGCCGACGCACACCTGGTATCAACGGTTGGCCTGTTAAATTTGGGTTACGGATATCACATGCTGAAAATCCCATAGTTATACAAAAATGTTGTATTGAATCAAGCTATAATTTAGAAAATATAAAGACCGGAAGTAGCACAACACGGAAGATCTGTGCAAAATGCGATTTAAAGATAAGGTGTACTACAATTTCGCTATATAGAGATACCAGATTGCAAATAAATATTCATTTACTAAGTCTCTCATCTCCTACCGTTATATACCTAGTATGTTTTCTATCTGATGCTTTGCAGTCAATTAATCCCAACTTTTTGTGGTATTATTTTAGAGTGGTCGATCCCGGTGGTTTAATTGAAGCATTACGATTATGCAATACAGAACAACAAGTAAGAGTTTGTTTCTAGTGATTACGGCTTTTCTTTATCTTATATGTGTAACTTTTATTCACCTAAAGCTCCTTAAAACTAGAAGCTAATTGGTGGATGGTGACTAGCAGTGGAATCCAGGCTACTCATTTCTTCCTATTTGGGACTCGCCATCTGGATGTACCTGCATTCCTCAGTGAGTGATGATGTTTCCACTGAGGCTCGTCGATTGATTGGACCGAAGTGCTCGGTCTCAGGTTGAAATGTCGGTTTCTTAAAAACTTTTTTCACAAACAATGTTTTTTTGTCTCCTAGCATCTCATAGTAGAATAATTTTATTTCATGAAAAACAGTGATTTAAGTCTATTCAAGAACTGGCACGGAATCATGCTTCTGTCCACTCGAAACTAAATATGAAGCCGTATCATCCTAGAGTGACTAGAAGATGTCCTGGGTGTGAAACTTCACTGCGAACATGCTGGATTCAGAGAAAAACAAGTCGTATGCGGATCACATCTCAAGATTGCACATTATCATTGAGCAGGGCATAGGGATGATAATCAATTCTCAACTTCATCGACTTTAAAAAGGCCTTCAAAAACGTAGACTATGAAGGTGTTTGTCAATTGCTTTAACGCTACAAAGTGAAGTGCCGCAAACATTTACAAAACTCATTCAGCAAGTAAATAATAATGCTAAATGCCAAGTAATAGCAGAAAGCTCACGAAAGTATTTGAAGTAAAGACAGGAGTGAGAGGACGTTGCCTTCTCTCATCATTGACCTTTCTGGTTGCTGTGGGTTAGATCATGCGACGGACTGTTTGGGAATGAGATGAGCCTACGTTGGACTGACCTCAGAAGATCTAAATCTCGTGTGTGATTTATGTCTCATGGCACACTGACATAGAGATACACAAGCGAAATCCAAGAAGTCGGTAAGAAAGATGGAAGACTGGACTTCAGGTAAACATAGATAAGACAGAGGTGATGAAGATATGCAACAAACAAAAACAAACATCAATCACCATTAACGAAAGGATTCTAAAGGAAATCATCTTGTGATTTACCTGGGCATCATTGTTCCAATTACAGAAGGCACAGATAAGGATGTCAAAGTCAACCAGAATCGGGAAAGTATGACAGGCGCTCATCCCTCTGAAGTCAGTGTGGAGATCTGCGGCACTTAGCACAAGGCAGAGATTCGAATCTGCAACACTAACATTATTATTATTAATGCTTCTACATGGTTCATAGACCTGGCTTGAACGTTACGGAGAGCATTTTCAACAGCTTGCTGCAGACTTTCATCAACAGATGCCTTCACTGGCTTTGTACTCAATATCAAATGACTGACCAGATCCGATAAGCGATAAGGAACTCTGCCAACAAATCAGCCAACCAGTCTATTGCTCCAAAATAGACAGAAGGAAATGAAGATAGATTTTGACATACTCTGAGGAGAAATTCAGGTGACATCACACGCAAAACAGGCCATCGAGTGAAACCTGATTGGGATGTCCGAGAATGACATAGAGGAGATCATATGAAAATGAAATGAGAGCTTGTGGATAGTCGTGGGATTAGCTGCAACGGATGTGAGAAAACCGAGTGCAATGGAGATGTGTTACGGGGACTCTGTGTTCCACTCGGAAGGAAGCAGCAATGTACTGCTCTTATCCATATCACTATATTTGACCAATCAAATGGTTCTGCGATGGAATTACACTCCCTTATGACTGTTCAATTTCTAAATTGTTGATTTACTTTATTTAGGATGCTCCCGAATTTCATTGTTTATTTATGAATTTATTGGAGGCACGTTTTCAACAAGTCGGTGTATCTGTTATTGACAATTTAATTAGAGGAGAGTATATTTATGAAACAATGTAAGTGTGGTTTTTTTACTGTCTATAGAATTATAACAGTTTTAAGAAGTAGTAATCTACTGATATCAATCATTTTCAAGTCAGTAAAATTGAGTATCAGTGTTCTAATCACCGTTGACATCTAGTGTACTTTACCTCTTAACATTTTCGCCCACGATAGTAGTTTTGTACTCTAAACTACTTTTAAGTATTTAGACCGAAGGTGGTATTTAAACTTGACTGATAAGTACTAGTGATTTAAAAAAGAATGCCGATACAATCGATCTTTCTTATGTAAAATTGTTACACCTAATGAAAAATGTGTCACTAAGAGCTAAGAAGAGGTGGGAGAAATGTTTGTTTCATTTTATTCATGCACTTCCAGTTATTTTAGAAATTCAAGAATATGTTTTATGTGTCTATTGATATAGTATCAACCCACGAGTATGAAATATGATTCAGTTCACATCTGTAGTAGGATATATAGCATCAATCCATGAAATCTTCGCCTGTTGGTTTGAGCTACATAAGGAGGGTGTAGACTGATTGATTGGGATCCTCGAGACACTAATAATCAATGACTGGAAAACTGTGCTGATGATACGGCTCGAAATCGTTCTCAGTAGTGGCGTAAATACATTCATTCTTTGTAATTACCCAGATGCATTAAATCCTCACGCTTCTCCATGCAATCATTCTTTATGCTGTACATTTTCATTTATTATATAGCTCTTTTGAACTTTCCCTCTATTTTTGTCTGCTATATGGAGGAGTTTGATAACTGTTGCAGTTTTGTACAAAGTTATACGTTGAAAATCTGTCAGTCAGATCGCCTTTTGGCAATGATATCTAATGGGGGAGGGGGCTTTTTAACACGAAAGTCCTATTGTGTTATTAATTTAGTTCAGATTGTTTTTTTCTTCAGAACTTACAACAGACAAGTTTACTGTGTGATTACTTGTAATTTCCCTTAACTAGACTCTTTTAACTACATTATGCTGTCGTTAACTCTAATGGGGGTTATTTCCAACATGAACTAGCTTTTTTCATAGTTGCTATGATTTTTTTTTATTCTTTTACATTCCAAGTGGAACATAGGGCTTCAAGCTAGAGCTGTAAAGGTTCAGTAGCAGTGGTGTTTATTTTTACGGGATGGGTTTGCTAGCTTCATGCCCAACCGTCCCTCTTTACCAGTTTTGTTACTGGCTTAGCTAGGTAAGGCAGTGCGTCGGCCAGGGATCGAACCCCGGACCACATGCGTGGTTGGCCAGCATTCTACCGCTGTTCCACCGATGCACTATCATTACATCTCAAATATCCTATGAAATGACATTGTGACATAGACATTAAGTGGATTTATGGTTAGAGACTGTTCTGTTTAGTTTTATGCATGTTGGTTGGGAGCTTTATTCATAGGCATTAAAGCAAGATTTCTCAGTCAATGAGGCTATTCAATTTCTATATTGTTCAGTTTACGAGGAGAAATATACGTTATTCGGTAACAACAACAACTCTACTGCGTTTATTGTTTCTGAGTATTTGCCAACTTTAAGGTGTCAGAATACTCTTTATCACATCAACACATCATAGAATTTGATACACAAGAGTCTTTTAAAACCCTACTTTCTATCCCTCAAATACTTTTCGTTTTTTTATTTGTTTGCTTAATGAACATCGCTATTGAGTGGCATTACTTGCTAACTTTTTCCGTCTGCTTTATATCCTCTATGATTTCTTTGGTATATATTTTTGTATGTAATACCGTTTGATCCGTCAGCTGATACTTTTGTAAGTTATAATGGGAGAGTACATTGTAAGACTAGGTTTGAAGAAAATCGGTTTTACTTTGTGCTCGGTCTATAAATATGATACGGATGTCATATTCACTGCTTGCTTCGCAAAATATGTTTATTCGACCAAGGGTGTGAGACGTTTGGTTAAGTCACTCAAAAGACATAGGATGATGAGTAAATTAGTATTTAGACATTTATTTCAATGTATTTGAAGGGGATAGCAACAATCCGTTCACCTTCAGTCGTTTATTCCACCCATACAACAAGGGGGGTGGGGTGATATGATCACTATGAATTGTTTTTAAGCCCAATTCTTTTTGTGGCTTCCTTTTGTTTTAAGTATTGTGCGGATTATCTGCTGATTGTATATTTGATTTTTCTTTTTTTTATTTCTAGCTGTTCAACATGCGGTTTCACTTCCCGATTACCTTCAAAATTTCTGGAATTATCCTTGAAAGTCTCATCGAAGTCACTACCAGATTGCATTAAAGATTATCTAAAGGTGATTTTTCTTTGAAAAATATTCAAAATGCAACTTGTTTTTGTAAAGAGAAGCTTTCTTTGATATTATTTGATTTGATGCAAAATGTCCATAAGAAATTTCAAAAGACTGAATACTTAACAAATCAAATAATGAATCTTCTTTTCGATAACTTTCTCATCAGGTTATACTGTTTTATATACACACAATAATGAGAGAATTAGGATTATTAACAACATTAATGTTTAAATAACATTGAACCAATATTAATATCAATGGATTATGGTTCTTTTGATTAGGCACTAGTTAGTAACTGGTGTAATGTGTCTAGTCCTACCTTTGGTGCAGACTGAATTCTCTCAGTTCGATAGCACCTATAAGCATGGTAATATGCATCAACATAACACTTCACTGAGTATCAGCAGAACCAAGCACAAAAATCAAGTTCCTAGAGCAACATCCAGTATAACTTGCTTCACAAACGCAGATGAATTAGTAGATACGGTTAGAGGTGGCTAGTCTACGTACTTCATCTTTCAATTGATAAGTATAAATAAAGGTATGGTGAAAAACATCAACAGCTCAATATTAGACGACCTGGTCCAAACCCTCCACAAAGCTAGCATTGAAGAATCCTTCTCCACTATCTATCAGGTATCTAATCAATTGCCGAAAACATCCGGATATCGAAGACTCCAAGCAGCAGAGGTGGTTATTGCAATTCGCCTGAATCAACTGGTGCTCTATGTATAAAAGAAACAGGTCCAACCACTACTACTACCCTGGCCTTCTGTCGAGCCTATAAATTCATGAATTCTGTATTATATTATTATTCCTAATTTGTCTGATACTCAGTGTAGTGTTATGTTGATGCATATTATCACACTTACAGATGCTATTGAACTGTAATCCATTGATATTATTATTATTATTGGTTCGATGTTATTGAAACATTAGTGTTGTTAATAACCCTAATTTTTTCATTATTATGGATATATGAAACCTGATGAAGTTGTCGAGAAGAATATTCATTATTTCATTTGTGAAGTATTCAGTCTTTCGTTTAAAGTTTATTTGTTTTATTATTTGCATTATCATGACGATCAAATATTAACCTAAGTTTCTGGTAATCAGCACTTACGTATACAGGGGATTTATTAATTCATTATATGATATTGGGAATATCTCATAAAAACGTAGATAATTAAGTCAAAGTTTTTAACTTTTCAGGTTAGATCTTGTTAGATATTATCAGTGGTTCGAACAAAGAGGTTATCTTAACATAGGGAACATTGTTTAACCCGTGGAATGTTAACAGGTATTGTTTTGTTATCCTATGATCAGACAGGAGAAGGAAAATTTGAAATAATCCAGTACTTATCGATAACTGGAATTAAAAAAGACTCATCGACTACTTAGCTTGTTATATGCTTAACACGTTAAGCATATTAACATCAGCATTATGGACTCATGACTTAGGTGAATGTGAAGCGGGATTTGGGTTCGTCAACCCGTTGCGTTGAATGTCAAGCAACTAACCAATGAAGTGAAATTCATGTGAACTGTGATCGAGATTTGACGGGATAGATGCAAAATAATTGAGCGCCGAGTGAGAAGTCGACATTTATTAAAATTGGATATGTATTAACAACTAGTCACACTTGGTCAAATTCCCGATTATCTACATCTTCTTATGGAGAGAATAACAAATGTTTTATGACTGTTCACCCACACACACATACACACACACCATTGTATACTACATATACACATATATTTTAACAAAAGTAGACTAATTTTGAAAGTCTGAGGTCAAATTTTGATCACAGTTCATACAATTTTTGTTTATTATACCTGTTGAAGAGGACATGAGGTTGGCAACCCCATCCTGTTAAATAAACACTGCTACAGAAACTTTAAGCCACAAGCTTGAAGCCCTGTGTTCCACTGGGGAACGTGGAGGAAAAAAAACCTGTTGATACCTGTTTCATGATTCATATGACAGGACAAACAATTTAAGAACAAGAGATATCCTTTTATGTACAAACATACAATTTTGTTTACTAATGTTGAAAGTCTGAGGTCAAATTTTGATCACAGTTCATACAATTTTGTTTATTATACATATTGATGCCTGTTTCATGGCTCATGATTGGACAGAGGTTTTGAAAACAAGTGATGTTCCTTTTTTTAAATAAACCTCTGTTATGTTAATTTCGATTAATTTCCCTGAAGAAGTTCGGGCGAGATTGCCGAACGAAACATTGGAATTAATCATTTCAATTTCGCTGAGATTTTGCAAATATAATTTTATAAATGAACTGAAACTAGAAGCAACGTACTACTGGCAATCATGATTTTCGATCATTTTTGTTTTTGTTGTTGCCTTTTTCAAGAAGTGTATTTCATATTTATTTTCTTTTACAGGAAGAATACTTAATTGGTGATAATCAGTACGCTTGTCCTCAATGTGATTGTAAACGAGATGGTGTTAGAAGAGCATATATAACACGCGCCCCACCTCTGTTATGCATCCAATTACTTCGGTTTACTTATGATTCAAAAACAGGTCAACGTAAAAAGTACAAAGCTTCTATTCGTCTGCCTGATCTACTTGAACTAACAAGAGTTATCGATGACAAGAAAACGAATAAACAATCAAGTTCTGAACATTCTGTGGAATGTTTAATTGCAGATTCAGGTATTATTACTATGAAAATGAATATGAATCACAATCTATTATTATATTGCACAATAAATGTTTAATAAGGTTTTTATACTTCATGTGTAAATGGCATGGTTCTTCTTTCTCACAATACCTATTTTAATAATAGTGCTCATCTCTTCATTTAAATCACAACTAATTTTATCATTAGGAAAAATAATCGCAAAGGAAGGATACGCCTATTGACAGAATTTCTATTGTCGCATTGAAATAGTGCTTTTGAGATTATTTTTTGTTTGATTCATTCATGATTATTGTTCAGTGCATACTGCTTCGTGAAATCTGTCCTTTGTTTATCGATCCTAGATGACTGAGATGAATATTTGCGTTTTTTTTTGTTGAATCATAATTTTTTGACTGATGTATCCTAAGTGCACTGCCCGAGGAAATATTGTGATTATCATGTTGAAATGCATGCTACTGTTCCTATATAGCTTACTCTGTGTTGGATGCGTGGCGCATAAATTACGAACACAATAACCTATGCAGGGAATGTTGCTGCTTTTCAATTAACCAATAGAATGTGTTGTATACATTCACAGAAATTGAGTATAAGTTTGTACATGACTATTATTCTTTTATTCCTTAGTGTTCCCAGTGGAATATAGGACTTCAAGCTTTGAGCTCTGAATTTTTAGTAGCAGTGTTGTTATTTTTTACGGGGTGGAGTTGTTAGCCGCACGCCGACTTTCCCTGCTTACCGGGTTTATTACCTGCTGGGGTTTAGGAGTGCGTCGTTCGGGAACGACCACCGTTCGGACCACTTGCGGCATGGTTGGCGAGCATTCCACCGATGCACAACCGAGATTAGGACTTTGTCCACTTGGACCACCAGGGTTCGGACCCAGAACCTTCCGGTTACAAGCCGAACTCGTAGACCATTCAGCTACTGGGACTGTTCAATCTTCAGAAAGAAGACAAAGCAATAAGTTCGACAGGGTGCTTCACCTAAACTCTAATCCTAAACACCATAATTTTGAAAATACGTCTAATCATAAAATTGTAGATGCTAACAGTTTGAACAGACATGAAGATGTGATGTTAGCTGATGCATAGGAAATCCTGATTAATAAATAAAAATGGATATGTATCACCAATTAAGAATACTTGGTCAAAATTTCCGACTGTTTTACAACCGGTTACCCACACACACACACATACACACTCTGTTTAAAGTGTTTAACAAAGGTAGATCAATATTTGTAGATCCGAGGTCAAATTTTGATCACAGCTCATACAATTTTGTTTATTATACTTGTTGATACTTGTTTTATGACTCATGATTGGACAAAGGTTTTAAAAACAAGAGATGTTCCTTTTATATATAAACCGCTGTAATGTTAATTTCGATTAATTTCCCTGAAGAAGTTCGGACCACATTACCGAACGAAACGTTGGAATTACTCATTTCAATCTCGCTGAAACTTTACAAATATAATTTTTTACTGGAACTGTTATCAAGCACATTTCTGGGGAGTCTTTATTAGAACAATGGGAATACGACAAGAATGTCTTTATAGGTGTTCATCAATGGGCACACTAGTATTGAGATAACACACAATTACTTATTAGTTTATTTAATAGAAAAGATTTATGCATGGAGTGTTTGCTTTCTCAGTATAGATTGCTCGTATCACTCATGCTTCAGCTTTATAATTTGCAATCTCTTAAATTAGTTAATATGTGTTTATCACCTTTATATTGTATTGTTATGACTTTAGGAAAATATGAACTCTATCTTAGTATTTTTGATTTAAGAATGGTTAGATGCCCTTAGAAAAGCGGCTACCTTACACAGTTGTAAACCGCGGATATTCACATAATGTTGATAATCTTATGTGTAGAAGTCTTTGGGAATGATATCAAGTATTAAAATGAAGTCAGTATGATTTGTGTACCTAGAACTATCAGTTTTTCTCATAAACTATTTCCCCTATATGAATTTAAATAAGGCAAAACCAAACGTTCGTTCACAATAAGATGGAGCCATCATCTGTGTATAACCTAAAGGTTAATTATGTAATATGTACAGAGAGATTTAGACATGCTTGCAAGGGTTACATCACTTTTGATTAACAGACATAATATTTATGAACAATACCCAGAAGTTAGTCTTACATAAATTATGCAAAAAGGCGAAAGTTTTAACATACAAAATTACTGGTTGGGTACATTGAAAATTGAATTACACAATCAAGACAATAGACAAGACGATGATGATAATTAACTGATCAATTGCATGATAATGTGATGAGTTCAATTCAAGTCATAGAAATAAAAAACAAACAAACTAAATTAGATTTAAGCAAAACTGGGAGGAGGCTAGAGCAAAATGTTATTGTAATCAAATGAGAGAAGGAGATTACACTCTGAGTTGCCAGAATAATGGAAGACTGATAAGTGAATCTTACTGGACACGTAAATCAGGTTTTAAACATTTGATAGAGATTGCTTTGGTAGATTTGAAGAAAGTTGAGTTATATATATATTTTTCCTTCACGTTCCCCGGTGGAACATAGTGCTTCAAGCTAGTGGCTTGAAGTTTCCGTAACAGTGTTTATTTTACAGGATGGGGTTGCTAGCCTCATGCCCAACCTTTCCTCTTCACCAGCATTATTTCTGGCTTAGCGAGATTAAGGAGTGCGTTGGCCGGGGATCGAACCCCCATCCATGTGCATGGTCGGCGAGCGTCCTAACAGCTATGCCACCGACGCATGAGTTATATATATATATATATATATATATATATATATATATATATATATATAGTCTGTTATTAATCTTGAAGAGGATTATGTGATATCTCCACCTCACGACTCGCATCAACGAGATGTCTAGCAATAGCCCTGTTCAAAGCATTCTATCCCATGAGACGTAGGGTTTTTGTTGCATGTTCATAGAAATCAACAAAATGAATGATAGACTCAGTGTATTCTGCACAAACATTTGCTTTTGCTTTATTTAAATTATTAGTTTTTCTTGAATTGTTTAATATTAAGGCTGAAATTGAAACTGTTGAGTTTGTAATAGTTGGATTTTCCGTAGAAATTAATTTATTCCTGGTCTTCATAAGTATTTTATTTTATCCTTATAAAGTTATCATTCCTTTATATCTCTTTTGAATGAAATACTTATCAGTTTAATTTTCAAGTATTGTTTTTGTAGGGATATATTTTGATTGGATGAAGGATTTCATCATGAGCTGACATCAGTTAGAGAACCACTGGAAAACCTGGGAGTACTGGACAGCTATTTCGTCCTAGTTTGAGAGTCTTCTGCAGTACGCACACACCGGGGTTCGCACCCAGGACCTTCTGGTTACAAGGCGAGCTCATAGACCATTGAGCCACTGAGACCCGATCCAATGGCCGATGAATTCTAACTTCTGCTAATTTATGACAGCGCGACCACTTCGCAATATCTTCTTCGATGAGTTACTACCTCATCTGCAACCTGCTCTACCCTACTGGTCTTGGCTTCCCACTAGAACCCCAGGTTAACTGCCTGAATAAGGCCAGTTGCCAGTGAGCATCAGAGTAATTTTCAAGTATTGGTTTTGTAGGGATTTATTTTGATTAGATGAAGGATTTTATCAGTTTATATGGTATAGAACATGTGATAGTGTAACGCAATACTGTTTAATGTTCTGGAGACAATTGTGCTTGCTCTACAATCACTCTACTACAGTTTTTTCTTATATTATTATCATTATTATTAATCATTTAAACCCTGTTTTTATTTCAGATCCTTCCTACAGTGCCTATCGTTTATGTGGTGTACTTCTGCATATTGGTAGTCAACCGACTTCAGGACATTATATAGCTGTTCTTAGAGACTCTTACAATGATATCAGTGTCTCTTCTGATCATCACAATAAAGAACAGCTACCTTCTGGATGTGAACAAGAAATGAAATCAGATGAATGTTGGAGTGTTTGTAATGATGCAGATGTAAGCATTTGTCTAAAAATTTTGATGAAAATATTGATTTGATAATTTATCTTGACTTTATTTCTATGAAGTAGATAATGTTCATAGTTGAAGAGTCATATAAAATTATCCCGCCTAGACTTACTTTCACAGCAAACGTAAAAATGTATAGTGCAGTTCTAACTAAGCTTTAATAATATTTGGATGGTCTCTTGTATTACAGGATGTCTTCAGTCTACAATCCTTACAAATAAGATATATTCGTTTGAATTTCATTGCACTCGCTTTCCAGGGTTATCATTGTTGTTGTCATCGTCATTATCATCATCATCATTGATCTTCAAGAGTGTATGTATGCGTAACACCTCTAACTGAAGCCCTAGATGACCCAGGTTTGAATCTCAGACGGGATATGAAAGCCCCTCCAAGATTGCAGATACGCCGTGCTGACGAGAGTGCCAATAAGCACGAAACCTAGGTCCATGACGGTTTCCTATCGATTGCCTCCAACCATTCTGTCAGAATGTCTATTTCATTGAGTGTTAATAATTATTTAAATATTTTGTTTTTAAAAAGAAATTTATTTTATTCTTTTTCTAAGGTCTTCACTATTCCATCACAGCATTTCAAACTATCTAAAGTTAATGGGACAGCTAAATCTTTGCAGGGTTATTTAACACATTCAGAAAATTCAGAATCACAACAACAAACAACAGATCAAAGTAAAGTTGACCAGTCTACTGAAAATTGTTCTCATCGTAAAGCTAAAAAGCGTCGTTATGACGCCACAACCACCTCTTCTATGGATGTAAATAATACTGACTTGAATGAAAGCATTGATGATACAGTCTGTGAAACTGCATCACAAAAAATCCTATGGCATAGTTCAACTAACGCGTACATGCTATTTTATGAAGCAGTTGACAACTGTAATATAGATCAAGGTAATTTTAACTTCCGTTGCTTGCTTTTCTGAATACTCTTGTATTTAATGTGTACACATTAAATAAAGTATAATTATATTTCAATAGTTTACACACAATGATAAGTTTTATTATTGGTAATATTTCGAGCAAAATTACTGCCCGTGTTCACACCACTGTTGGAATTGTTTTGTTCACACATTCATGATTTGTACTCATATATATGGTTCATTTTTTGTTCATTCATTTTTGTGTATTCAGAATTTTGATAACATTATTAGAAGACGGAGATTATCTGATAATTATCTAATAATGCTATCAAAATTTATAAAAGGGACTAACTGTTTTAAGTATTCAGAATTATATTCCAAGTTGTTGATAGTTGTACTAAGTCACCTTTGTTACATGTATCCCGTGTGACCTTAATGAATATCGATTCTGTTATAAGTCTTTCTTTCCATTTGTTCATGTTAGTTTTTAGAATACACACATTGTCCCAATCGATATTGTATTTTTTGTCCCATCCATGTGCAGCTATCGATGAATTTTTTTCAAGATTCTTGTAGGCTCGTGTTCCTGTTGGTTGACCTTTGGTTAGGCGTTTATGTTCATTCACTCTTATTTTGAGTGATCTGGACGTTTGCCCCACATATTTAGTTGGACAGTCAGCACAAGATATTTTGTAAATCAAGTTGTTTTTATCTATCATTTTTATGGGATCTTTCAGTTGATTTATTTTATTTTTGATTAGATTTGTCGGTTTAAAAGTTGTGTGAATGCCGATACTTTTGAGGTTTCTTTGAATTGCCTCTGATGTACCATTTTTATATGGTATTGTGATTGTTTTTTTTTTTGCATTCTTCCATCTTGTTATTCTCCGGTTTTACCCTCTTTTTTCTCCTTTTTATATTATCTTTTATAAATTCTTTCGGGTGGTTGTTTTCGAATAGCATTTTGAATAGGACGTTTATTTCTTTACACTGGTCCTCTGGCGTTGTTGTAAGTCTACGTATTCTATCTGCAAGACCTTGTATTAATCCTCGTTTCACCGTGAGTGGATGAGCTGAGTGATAATCAAGGAATCTTTTAGAGTGTGTGGTTTTTCTATATAGTGTCGTTTTAATGCTACCATCTGTTATTCTTTGTATTTTGTGTACACATTATTCGTTTGTAGTTTCAGCAATTTTCCATAGTATTTTTTTTCTTTACCAAATGAGGAGAGGACTCAAAAGAATCTTTGAACTTTTTAATGTTTTGTTAAGAAAAAGTGCCCTTTTTATTGTAAGTAATTCAAATCTTAGAATTACAGAAAGTTGAAGGAATTATTGAAAAATGCACTAAATATTTAATGTATACAAAATATTCAAAAGTTTCCCAAACATCACCTTTGTGTATGTATTTCTGACGTTCAAAATGGATCAGATATATATTCTCTCTTTGTGATCTTCCATATCAATTAAAACTTCACATTTTTCCAGGTTACTGTTCTTTCTCCCACACATTCCTGCTCACTATAGTTCCTTTAAATCTCTTTTCTCTACCTTTGTATGCTAAATGCGGTGTGACAGCTTGCTTGAACCACTGCACTTTTACGCAAAGTTCTATGTTGAAACTCAGTCGATGAGTGAATTCTATCTCAGGGATGTTTAAGATTTTGCTGTATTTAATTTTCCTCCAAATGGACATTCGAGCAAATCAGCTTTCTGGTCTTTAGATATTCTGAATTACTTCAAGAGTGTCTATTGACTGCTAATTTAACGAATTCATTGAAAATAACGTCTATTGAATTAGTGAAGGGAACTAAGTCTCCTATTTATCTATTCAAGGTTTGATATTTCTTTTTCTACTATTATTCCTTTGCGTTCCGAGTAAAACGTGTAGAGTTTTAAGCCTTAAGCTTTGAAGTTTCTGTAGTCTTGGTTTTATTTTTACGGGGTGAGGTTGCTAGTTCCCCCCCCCCCAACCTTCCTTCTTTATCAGTTAATGAACCAGACGAGCTTCAGGAGTGCATCAGCTTGAAGTCGAATCCGTACCACGTGCGTAACTTGGCAGCATTCTACCCCTACACCACTAACTCATTAAGCTTTTATTACTGTCTCTAAATTTAAGGGAAAATATTGTGTTAAATGTAGTTACTCTGAAAGTTCTATTATGGATAAGATTTTATTTTGATAAATCACACAGTGTTACACAGTAATATTAACTGATGACGTTTCGAGCACAAATTATTGCTCATAATCATATCAAGGTACTCACACAACTTTTTCCTTCATTTATATACATGTGTGGAATCGATTAGATATTGGCATAAAATCCAATATGAGATAATGTACATTCAGAAATAATAATACGACTGTTATTGATCAACTACAATTAGATAGTAAATACAACGAATGTTTTTACAGTCATAATAAGTTAATTGTTAGAATGTTGTGATGTCTTTGAATTGAAATAGAATTTTTAGATTATTTATTGTCCTCTTCTGATTTGACTGGTGGTAATAATATCTTCCATATTTCTGGTATTTGCATTGAGTCACTTCTGTTGCATGTGTTGGGTGTAGACTCGATGAATAAGGATTCCGTAATCAACCTCTCTTTCCACCTACCTATATTACTTTTTAGAATTTTAACCCTATCCCACCCTATTGTGTGTTTGTTTGTTAATGCGTGAGGTGCAATAGCTGAGTATTTTTCTAAATTACTTATCTTCTCGGCGTCAACCATTCTTACCTTGGCTAAATTCTTATGTTCCGACAATCTGATTACTCCCGATCTACTAGTTTGACCTATATAGTCGACCTCACAGTCATTACAAGGTATTTTGTAAATTATATTATTTTGTTTAATTGGGTCCACCGGGTCTTTTAGCCTACAGAGCCAACATCCTAACAAGTTACTTATTATGACTATAAAAACATTCGTCTTATTTCCCATCCAATTGTATTTGATCAATAACACTCATATTATTATCTCTGAATGTACATTATCTCATACTGATTTTTATTCAAATATCTAGTCAATTCCATACATATATATAAATGAAGGAAAAAGTTGTGTGAGTACCTTGATATGATTATGAGCAAAAATAAGTTGTGCTCGAAACGTCATCAGTTAATATTACTGTGTAACACTGTGTGATTTATCAAAATAAAATCTTATTCATAATGGAGTTACACTCTACCATAGTGCCCAAGTTTTATACTTATATCTGCAAGTTTTAGTCGTTGTGTGAAAAGAGAGGGTAATTGCATGCCATGAATAGCATCTTTTTCACGCCGCATTTGTTCAATCGTTTTGTGAAATTCACATCACCTTGAAAGAAATCTACATACGTACTTGGGTAATTTGTTTCTACTAGTGAAGACTTAAATACTGTGTGGTAGATAACGTAATCCATTTGCAGAAATTATATTCAACTTCATCTTATCTCTTATATTTGAACAAGTCTTGAGGCCGTCCACTTGCTTTTTTGGTCCTAGAGGTCTTAGAAACATTCTTATCACTGTCAAAGTCTTCAGTATGACTTTAAACTTACAAGTGTATAGCGGTTACATACGTAGATTGTACTGATTAAAATTCAGTAGTTTGGTGTAATTAATGTTTTAATTTGTGAATTATTTATGGATTATACCACTCAAATCACTATACAACTGGGTTTTACTGTCTATTTCTATTTCGGAAACACATATATATGCTACTTTATTACAATCCAAAACGTCTGAAATATGCTATAAATGCTCTGGAAAGCTGTTGTGGTGTAAGCCACTACAGACTGAGCTGTAAACTATCGAAACATTCATATACTGATGCACTCATTTAAATGCCTATTCTTAAGTCCCTAGAAGAAGTGTGCGCCTGAAGTATGATGAATATTTCGTTTACATACAAATCCGTGGGTTGTGGTATATTAATCTAGACATACAACTTCTAACCAGTCTCTGGCAAGTACTAAGCATACCTTTGGTCGGTCGCTTTTCGACATAGAACTTTGCACATATGTGCGGCAGTTCAAGTCGCTACACCATGTAGCACGCAAAGGAAGAGCAGGAAGTAGAAGAAATGCATAATATAGACAGTAAACAGAGGTGTGATACAAAGGAATAGTAATAACGGAGAACAAAACAGTTTAATTGGAAATCATAAGTCACAAGGAGTGGATGCATCTGCGCCACTGAGAACGATTTTGAGTCATGTCACCAATTGTTTCCAACCATTGGTTTTTACCATCCCGAGGGCCCCAACCAGTCAGGAAGTCTACACCTTCCTATGTGGCTTAGACTAACTGTTGTGGATTTCATTGACTGGTGCCATGTTTTCGTTTGACCGCCGCTAGCTCTTTTCCAGCCTGGCCCTATATCAGCTAACATTGCCCGTCGAGGAAGGCGATGACAAGGCATACGGAGATAGAACGCAGACACCTAAGGGTACCTTACACCTGTCAAAGTTTGATTAGTCAGGTAGTATCATCAATCCTCCCATGTATCTTGTTTATCGGATTCATCATCTGATGTGCATACAAGTAATATTGTGAGTGATTTTTGTTACAGGAATAAGTATAGTATTTATTTGTCTGCTTGTGACATCATTATAATAAGTTATACCCTTCATTAATTGCCTACTTTATATAGAAATTCGTGTCCCCTCCGAATTACTGAAAACCATCGAAGAAGTAAATTTAACTGAACAGGAAAAACTATTGTCTGAACGAAAAAAGCAGGTGCGTTATAAATATTCGTAAAAGTGTCGCATTTATTATTACAATTATTATTCTTCATATTGCTGTTGAATTGTGGGCTCATTGTCATAAGTATTCGAGTTTCAATTTTATATTTTGCTGCTCAATGATCATAAACTAAATGCTTATGAATGTAATTTCAGTTTCTTTTGGATGGTAGAATATTGTTCTCTATAATGTTCTACAAAATGGTCTGGCGTTGCATATATGATTTGTAAATAACTTAGAGTGTAAAAAGCCCCATTTTTCTTTAAACCCCGATTCTATATGCAGTAAAATGCACGGTTATATTTTTTCCCAGTTGTTTTCCGAGGCAGCTGAACTATTTGTCTTTTTGTTGTAGGTGAATCGTAAAGACCAGATACTCAACCTCATATCCGAATTGAAACTTCCTGAGCCTCCTGAAATGCTATCAGATGAGCATAGCGTGTCTTTAGTATCGACGTCTTGGTTATCCGATTGCCTCAATCATCCTTTGTTATTTGAAGATTCTACAACATCTACCTATCAATCTGAATCAGAAAAGAAGTCGCTTCTGAAGCTTCAGGAACATATATGCCCGTCTTCGTCATCTAATCAGTCTTCCTATTCTTTACGCTCATGTCCACATGGGCGTGTCTCTACTGACCTTGCCGCAGGCTCATACAGAGCTGTTTCTACTGTAGGCTTTAAAAAGCTTGTTGAAATTCTTTTGTCGAAGTCAGTTAACAATGATACTTCTCACAGTGTCAAGTACGTAGTCCTTTTTAGTGAAGTATAAATTTTCAATTTTCATTTATTCTGCAAATTTCTTAATGTGTGTTTTGAATCTAACTTAGTGTCTCCGATACTTTTCTGTGCAACAGACACAAAGACTTTATAGTGTTTACACAAATGAAAGTGTAGTAGTGTGGCGTGTGCTACTGATAAATTTATCAGTAGGATATAGGGAGGCGTATAAAAATACCAAGTAGCGGAGAGATAGATTGGACGTCAAAGAACATGGGAAAGTCGCAAAAAAAACAAAGAAACGCAATACGAAGGGCAGAAGTAGCACAACACGGAAGATCTGTGCAAACGACGATTTTCAGATAAGGTGTACATAAATCCGCTCTATAGAGATACTATGTGCGTCGGTGGCATAGCGGTTAGGACGTTGCCGACCATGCACATTTTCCGGGGTTCGATCCCCGGCCGACGCACTCCTTTACCTCGCTAAGCCGGAAATAATGCTAGTGAAGAGGAAAGGTTGGGCATGAGGCTAGCAACCCCATCCTGTAAAGTAAACACTGCTACGGAAACTTCAAGTCACTAGCTTGAAGCCCTATCTTCCACTGGCGAACGTAAAGGAAAAAAAATAGAGATACTAAATTCCAAATAAACATTCTGTTACTAAGTCTCATGTCTTCTACCGTTGCAGTAGTATCTCTCTGTTCCACATTCCTGCTTATTTTTGTATCCTAATTTAATTTTGCTTTATTTTATCATTTTCAGATTCGATAGATTTCAACCGTGTAAAAAATGCATATCTTTAAATATTGCCTTATTGAAGATTGAAAACGCGATAAAAGAATTATCCAAGGAATTAGATTATTTTTCAAGAACAAATCATTTGTCTTCCTCATTACAGAAACGTCTTGAAGAGGGAAAGGTAAACAGTCATAATCGTATGCGTATATGTTTTAACTGATTTGCTCTGTGTATGAGAAATGAAGTATTGCTCAATAGATTTATCGCAGTTCCATACAGCTGGCAGCAATAAGCCACACCTATTGTGTGTGTGAAGGCTAGTGATACTGGCTGGCTGCCTAAACACATCGGTTGATGGAACGGGGTATCCGTCATCAAGCAGTTAGGAATGAACTAAGTAACTATTCTCCTTGATTGTGTTTTTTTCATTTTGGTTTCTAATCATAAGCAAAGCATACATGGGAGAACACTGATGTCTTATTGGTAACTCTACCCAGTGTCAGCTAGTTCTGCAGTCATAATTTAGTATCACTGTGTACTGCATTAGTATCATCGAAATAATGTGAATAAGGCATAATGATCGCGACATTATTACATTGTAGTTTTAGTCTAGATAGTAGGGTAAAAACTTAAGCAATTTTAGACAGGTCAAAACTGTATGTATCACTATTCCTTTGTGTTCTGAGTGGAACATACGGCTTCAACAACACATCTCTACTTTCTTCTATTCTCTGCTGTTCTCTTTAGCTGCACACAAAATTGCTCATAATCTCTCATCTCCCCCTAGCGCGATCTCCTACATGTCACACTCAAAGCGACGACCCACTCGTCGCTTCCCATTAGGATTCCACTCGGGCGTTGGCCTAGCCCGCAATGTCATTCGATGGCCTCCTCAACTTGTACTCGACCCATCTCCATTTTCTCCTACATAGTTGTTGAGCGATCGGCTCTTGGTTTACTCGCAGCCAGAGTTTCTTGTTGCTAATTCTTTCTGTCCGATCAACCATTTGATATTTAGTATGGAGCGAGTGAAGTCAGCTGTTGCTAAATCTTTGTAACTTGTTGGACATAAACACAGTGCAAGTTTCTGACCCGTATAGAAGAACTGGCTGACTTCACATTTATGTTAAAAATCCAAATTTTTTTCTTTATGCTGAGTGCCTAATTTACTAGCTTGCTAGTTTTCTAGCCGGTCTCAAGCCCGGGTAAAAAGGGAGGGTTGGGCTTTGAGCTAGCGACCCTACACCACAAAAGCTATCGAAACTGTATGTACTATTGGTTTAAGTGTAAATCTGAGTGATTTTTGTGTCTAATACATTTGATATACTTATATGGTGATTAACATTTTCTTATTCAATAGATTCAAAGATAATAAATGGGTAGTTATTGATAAAAACCTTGATGAACGCTTTTTAGTAACATTAAATTGTACGCATGTGCTGGATAAATCAGTAACCGCACTCATAACCCACACTTTTGGGTTGTGAATCTCAGTAAAGGTGTATAGGTATGAAGTCTTGAATAACCTGATACTTATAACATCCTACTTTCCATGGAGGACAGTTTGATCGAAATGACGATAAAGCAAAAAAGATCAAATTTGTAGGTTTCCATCAGCTGCAGACTATCTGAAATTACAATGGTTATAAGACAGTGAAAGTACCATACCTCAGTGTTAGCTTCATATTCGATAAAACACTATGAATTAAGGCATCCGAAATGCAAATGTTACCACTTTCATCATCAATTTATGCGCATTTAAAAGTAAAATACGGTAGTGGAGTGGGCTATGTGGAGAACGCAAAATAGACAAAAAAATATTTGTGTTACCTTATAAGATTTCATAACGACTCAACAAAATTATAGTTAAATGAGTATGGGACACCGAATTCACTACGATTTTTTGAAACGGTTGCAACTAAACATCTTCAAGTATATGCTAAACAGCAGGTCAGGTGTGAGAGCAAATACTCGCCATCGATGACATTCGCTAATGGTCGCACCATATCATGAATTGGCAGAAGTTGGAATTCATAGACCGTTGGATCGGATCCTAGTGGCTTAATGGTCTATGAGCTCGCCTTGTAACCAGAAGGTTCGGAGGTCGAACCTCAGTGAGTGGGTACTGATGAAGAGTCCCAAACTGGGCTGACGAAACATCTGTCCAGTACTCCCAGGTTTTTCAATGGCCCGTTTAACTGATGTCAGTTTATGATGAAATCCTGAAGCCAATCAAATCCCTGCAAACCAACACTTGATTATATTAAACTTTCTTTTTCTTCGCGCAAGGTATTTTTGGTAACTTCTCATTGTTGTGTTTTTATTCCTTTGACATCGAAATCACAGTGTCAAGGTGATGCCGCTGGTTATTATTTAATTGGTAAAAGATCCTTTCGTCAATGGAAAACTCTTGCACGCCATTATACTCGAGCTCTTTACGGTGACATTGAAACTGATTCTGATTCACAAACAATAAAGCCTGCTCAGACAACATTGAATCACGACATACTTTGTCCTCACAATCAACTTAGTACAGAAAATGCTCGTTATGTACCAGCAATACTCTGGCATCAGTTAGTCAACTTATTCCCTGGTGCTAATATCCCAACATTTCCTATACATATTGCATACAATGCTGATACAGTCATTGATTCATCTAGTATACTAAATAATTCAGAATCGTCTTGTTCTGAATGTAATGCAGTACAAATTGATTTAACTAAAAGAGCACTTTGTGAACGTCAATTACTTCCTGGACTGTTTTTATCGAATTCTCAACGTATGCGCCTTTTACAATCTGCTGATGCACAGATAGAGAGGAAAGGAAATACTGTTAACAGATCTAACGAGCTTTCTCTTAAAGAAAGGTAACTTGATTTCATGAGTACAATAAATATATATTTTCTTTTTATTATCATGATTGATAACTTGCCCTTTTTTTAACTTTGAAAAGTAAAATGTATGCACTTCATGTTATGATAGTTTTGGTGTTATCCGATGATTCAGTATTCCACTTTATTTATGTTCATAGTATTATATATGTTTGATCTTGCCTTAGAGTAGGCAATGCCGAGGTTGAGCATATAAATCAAGTTAAGCAATTAGTGGATTTATTTACTTCATGACATTTCTAACTGTCGTTGTCAGTCAGCAGAATTTGGAAAAAGTCGATCATTAAACTTCAGTTTAATGCCTCAGTGATAACGTACCACCCGTGTGCAAACTCAGTGATCCTAAGATCAGTTCTACAGTTAATTTCCAACATTTTTGTCTAAATTTAGTTTCAGTTCTCAGTAGGAACTCTTTCAGAGTATCACCAGGTTTCTTCTGTACTTTCACTTCTCTGTGCATACTGAAGTGATGCAAGTTCTTACTTTGATTCATCTTTCTCTTTCATGAAAATTTAAAGAATTAATGGTTAGTGTATACGGGATATCGAGGTCTGTTGTTGGTTATTGACCATGCTGACTGGTATATCTGTTATCATCTAACTTTATTATCACTTCACACATTAGAATTTTCTCATATTTTTATCATTACTAATCAGTTAGCCGTTTATACTTGGCTTCGAAATCCCAATTAATTTAATTCTACTTTATTTTATTCCTTTACGTCCCCAGTGGAACATAAGGTTTCAAGCTAGAACCTTGAAATTTAGGCAGCAATGGTTCTTTTTGTGTATATTTACAGGGTGGGGTTGCTAGCCTTATACCTAACCGTCTCTGTTTACCGGCCTCACAACCGGCTTAGCGAGGTCTAGGAGTACGTCGGCCGAGGACCGGACCACAGACGTGGTTGGTCAGTATTCTACCTCCGAACCACCAACGCACAATTAATTTTAGTTGGTGTGCGAAAATATGTTTGAGTTAGCTTTGTGGTCAAAAATAGTTAATAATATGAAACTAATATCTGATGAATATCTCAAATGGAACCCGGATGGAAAACGGCGAGTTAGGCTTTCGATGATGACATGGAAGTGATCGTGTGAGGAGGTGAAAGCTTATGGGCAATTGTGGCGCCAGCTAAAGAGGACTGTAAACATCAAAATGCAAATGTAAATGTGCTGTTGAAGCCCTGTGTCCCACTCAGATCCCAAGGGAGTATTAACGTCCATTGAGGAATTGGGTTTCTTTTTTGAGTCAGGTTGTACTTCGAGTCAATTTTGTTTCAACTACAATTCTTGTATGGTTTAAATAAGTGTATTTATTTACCTACATCTTTTTTCAATGCTTTTAATTAAAATGACTTTCATTTAACAAAAATTTTATATTTTTTAGCCGAAATGATATGGATTCATGCGTACAAAATCAAGATCCAGATGCTACAATTTCCAGTGATAATAAATTAAACAATAGTGCAATATACTTAATTCCTATGGATTTTGTGTTACAATGGAGAAAGTTTATAAAAAATCCAACAGCAGAAAATTTGCCCAGTTCACTTTTATCCGGATTAAGTACTGATGGTGTACTTTGTGAACACAATCAGGTAAGAATAGTAATACACAATTGGACGGTAACTTCAGTATGTACATCGTATGAACTTCAGACAGATGTTTCCTACATGTGATATTGTCTTCGGTACTCTGTTTGAATATGTTCAACTAGATTTCTCTAGTTTGTTCTAGTGATTATAAATGATTATAAGGGTTATACTTTACCAATAAAGGATTAACAACAACAGTTCTGTGCTAAGCATAAGTTTGTTTAAAAGCGTTTGATTACACATTAACCTCTGAAAATCGTAGTAGTTATGATGCCTTCTGTGCATTTAATATTTTCAACGATTTGGCGATCTCGACCAAACGTCCCGTACCCCTAAGGTGTCTGAAATATCTTCTTCTCTGTAGGCGTAGATTTCTTGGAATTAGTACTATTATTATTTAATTGGTGGATGGTGACTAGCAGTGGAATCCAGGATGCGCATTTCGTCCTATTGGTGACTCGTCTGCTGGATGTACCTGCATCTATCAGTGAGTGATGATGTTCCCATCGAGGCTCGACGGGAAAATCTAAAATTTGGCGTTTGAAACTATGGGCGCTGGGTTTGAGCCTCGGTGGAAACATCATCACTCACTGAGAAATGCAGGTACATCCAGAAGACGAGTTTCAAATAGGACGAAATGCGCATTCTGGATTCCGCTGCTAGTCACCATCTATCAGTTAAGTACTTATTAAATGCCCAGACATCGTCGAAACATCTGCACAAGAAGCCGACATATCAACCTGAGACCGAGCACTTCGCTCCAATCAATCGACGAGAAAATCTAAAATTCAATTAAATTAGTACGATTATTATTAAAACATAAACTCAGTGCATTATGGACACCAAGGGATACACCACAGGAAATCTCATAGTCTGTGTGAAAACTGGGATACTTCCCCGGCACACAGACCGAAGCAATGGGTTGTCTTATGCCTCCATCCCCTAGCCGCTGACTTGAAGTTTGATTCATAAAGTAGTGGAACAACGTCAGGAGCTGCATTCCTATGGTTTCCTGTGACTAAAACAAGTTCAAATGTCATTCGATCCATTCAGATTCTGGACCCATAGGTCTGGAATCAGGTTATTCCAGCTCCCCTAGATAGACTTGGATATGTGCCAGTCAGGTTGTAAGCACCAGATGTTTGCATTAGCCCTTTCACTTTTGTGAGGGATATACCCCTTACCACTCTATTATTAACTATTAAGTTCAACTCTGTTTGCTGAAGAATTGTAGTGTAGACATTATTTTTTGTAATTATCATGGTTTACTATGTATCAAATATTTTTAGTGCAGGCATGATTGATTAAATATGAAAACCAAATTATTTCTTTTTGTTATTACTTATAGATGCTGAAAACCTGGCAAGTTCTTATAGAAGAATCAACATTATTTCCTCTTTCTTCTTATGAATGGGATGTCTTGTCGCACGCATATCCTAAAACACCACAAGAGAATAATATTCCTTTGAATGCTAGTGGATCAGAAACACAACTGCCATTCTATCCAGCGATGTATTTACTTCCTCGTGATGATTGTGAATCTAAATGGCAGTTAGAACCATCTACTTATAGTACTTTATGCTCTGAATGTAATTCCCAACTAACAACTGGTAATCAAACTTACAATAACGCTAGAATCCGTATTCGTCTAGTATCTGGTCTAGATGAAGCAGTTAGCAGTTGTCTACATTCAATTTCTATCAATCCTCCTACAACAGGTCCATTGGTATCACTGGATGCTAAAATTGAATCTGGCAATACTTCTATTCACACTGAATCCGGCAATACAAATCCGGACATTCCTGATCAGGTTGGTGGAACGCAGACACGGGTTTTGACAGTCGATGCAAAATTAGTATTTGCACCGTATGTCATACTTCCAGCCACAATATTCGAACACTTTATGGTAGGTATACGGCATGGGGATATAGAGCTGCACATTTTACTTCGCCCAAAAGGGTACCCCATGTATTGACAGCATTAGAGCAGCAGTAGTAGTGGAAGTAGTTGTAGTAAATCATGGGAAAAGAAACTCTATTTCTGTTATTTCGATAGTCTTACCAAAGTCTAGACTGTTGGTAAATAAGTGAGGTTAGATTGCAATAGTTGGAGAGCACACTTTCAAGTTAATCACTACTATGCTATTTATTGATGCCGTATTGGAATTTAATTCATTGTGTAGAATAAGAGTGGTTGGTTTATAGTCTAACTTTTAAGAGAATATTATATTATGTAACTTAGGTAGTATATTTGAATTATTATAACGAGTAGTAGACTGAAATGTCCTTTAATTTGGCGCAATTTATCAGATAGATATAATTCATCCTAGTCAATTCTTAAAACAATATTGTGCATCATATCACTTGTCTTGATTTTATTTAGGAAAAATTATTTTTCTTGTTTATTCTTTTGTTTTGTTTTTTCCCATTGTTTCTTTTCCTTAGAAAATGAATAATTTAAAAGAAATTCAATCTTATTTAGCTAAACGAGGCGAAAATGATTCAACTCCTTTAACTTCACACAATGGAACCGATTTAAACAAACCCTCATCTTCTCTTAATAACAATAATGATAATAATAAATTTACTCAAGAAGACGGGAATGGCCATCAACATCATCAGATTTTATGTAATAATAATAATAATAACAATACAAATAATATTCAGTCTACTAATCACTTGGACGCTTCAACTGTAAATTATGTTAGACGTTCAACACGTCAACGTTTAAATCCTAGAGATTTATTGGTTAAAGTGAATAGTAGTGATACTTTATTGAATATGAAAGTTCAATTAATGGAGATTTTAGGTGTTCTACCATCTGAACAACATATTGTATCTTATGTAAGTTTATCCATAATAAGTAGTATTAATAATGTGTGTATACACACCGACGACCCACTCGTCGCTTCCCATTAGAATTCCACTCGGGCATTGGGACAGCCCGCGATGTCATTCGATGACCTCCTCAACTTGTGCTCGACCCATTTATTCCCAGCCAGAGTTTCTTGTTGTTAATTCTTTCTGTCCTATCAACCATTTGATATTTAGTATGGAGCGAGTGAAGTCAGCTATTGATAAATGTGTGTAACTTGTTGGAAATCCTTTTCGCGACATACACGCAGTGCAAGTTTCTGACCCGTATAGAAGAACTGGCTGACTTGACATTTGTGTTGAAAATCCAAATCTTGTTGTTTATGTTCTATGTAGAAGATTTCCAAACTGGTGTATCTTGCCTTTCCGATTCTGGTCTGCTTTGACATCTTCATCCGTTTCGCCTGTAGTTTTGTTGTCTTTTACTAACATTGAATTGCTCTAGTTTAATTTTTTTTACAGCTTGTACCTTCTGGTGCAGCATAAGTAGGTATGCTTCGATTATCGATATAGAGGGTTACTCTTCTAACTTAGATATCACTAAGAATCATTTCTTCACTGTATGCATTTCACCTATAGTTCAATACATACACCTCGTTTTTGCGTCATTCTTGACATGATGACAATAAGTGTTTAACTGGTAGCTTAATTTTCTAAGGATTGACTATATACTGAGGTAGCCTAACTCTTTTAACATCTTAGTTTAAGCAAACAAACTTAAACTACCATCTTAGGGTTGATTGAAAATTCTCCTTAACAACTTCAATGAACTACTTATATAAAAAGGTGACACGTTTTATTGTTGATATAGATTACCTTCTAGGAGTTCATTTCTATATAGCCTTTTTGAGTGCATATAGCTAGAAGTGTTGTTCGTTAGTTTAAGCATTCAGTTCCTAACTGAATGATATATAGTTTCAAATTATGTTTTATTTACTGTGTGTTTACACATTATTCACATAACTGAAGTAAGGCTTATTGCTAAGTGCACGAACAAACAAAGGAAGTTTGCTTTCGGAAGTGTATGGGTGGTTGTTACTTCTTTGCTGCTTAAACTGTGAAAGTTGATTTTTTCTTCTTGGGGTAGAAAGAACATTATTTTGCTTGATGACAGAGCTCATGGGACAATTGCTTGAGACCGGTCATTTACCGCCCGTTTGAATTAGTTTTTGTTTTCGTATCCTTACTACAATCTTACTGCCGCAAGGTAAGTCGGGATGTACGATTTTCGGGGTCTACCTTTTCTAACTCCCCTGATATCCAGAGTGGAGAAGCAGTATTGCTGGGCATCTGAGGGAAACAAATTACCGCTGTTGCGTCCCTATTCCCGAGCAGTACGACTTCACCAACAGATGATCCCTCCCAACGTGGTGTAAACAATTTACACTATGGCGGTAACTTCCTTTATTCTAATCACTATCCAAACAACCTTTCTGGCATGATAGGACCTGCAGGAACATTAGTTCCAGCTAGAGTAGCTCGTTAGGTCATTGTGGTATGCAAGCCTCATCACCACTTCAACGTAGCAGCTATCGATCGGGATGAACAGAAATACACTTGCCGAAGTCATTAAGCTTCTAGAGGATATATTACTTACAACCTTATTATCCGTGATTAAATCGCTTACATATTGCTTACTGTATATTTGTGACTTTTTTGTTTTCTCTATATGTCTAAACATTGATGTATTATTTAGATTATATACTGAAAAAAAATTTAATTGCTGATAAATACACTTTAGAATATGACGCAAGAATGTTGTGATATTATTATTATATTTTGCATATTTTAAATCTGCTTTTGTTTTTAGGGTGTAGAGCTCTTTGATAACACTAAAACACTACAAGAGTTAGGTATCTGTTCCAATAGTATACTGTATGTGTGGGCTGATAATCCAACATGGGATCCTAATCGAACATACTGTGACAATTTAACCTTCAAGTCGACTACACAAAAATCAAAATCTGGTAGTCCGTGTAAATTAACAACTGGTAAGTCGTTTCCAAATATTTGATATTGATATCTCTCCCTCTCTCTTGTGCCATACTGTCTTTAAATAGTTCAGTTTTTCGTTATGACAGCTGTGATCTCTGTCTTTGCATATTATGCGCTCAACTAAACGGTTAACAATGTCTACCTAAATATTTATGTTGGCTACTGTAATTTAGTGTGCGAAAAATCCACGGACTTTACTATCACGATAGATTTTAATCAGCACAAAAATAAAACATTTGAAGTATACCAATTCATTTCATATTTTTACTCTTAAAGTAGAGAAGCGAACAGATTTCATCGAGTACTGCATGTATTATCTACTCCAGGTGTTGTTTTGCAGGGGTTTTTTTTTTGTTCCTTTGCATTCCAATTGGAACATAGGGTCTCAGACTTTGAAGTATCATTAGCAGTGATTTTATCTTTACCGAATGCGTTTATTAGTGTCACACCCAACCGTCCCTCACTTTCCCGGGCTTACTGTCAGCTAAGCGAGGTTAAGGAGTGCGTCTGCTGGGAGTGTGGACCACATGCGTGAATGGCGAGCATCCTACCGCTGAACCACCGACGCAAAGCGTGTATTTTAGGAGGGGTTTGACTGACTATTTAGCTCACGAACTGATTGTAGTTAGGGGACAATTGAAAACCAAGGAGTACTGGGTAGCTGCTTCGTCTTAGTTTGTAACTCTTCAGAGGTACTCAGGACCGACCTACATGATACGAAGAGTGTCATTTGATTCCACCTCCGTGGTTGAATCGCCAAGAAGCTCCCGTAGTAACCTGAGAATCCTGGGTTTGATCCCCGGTGGGGTCACGGATGCGTGCTGCTTCAGAGTCTAAAACTAGGGCAAAGTAGCTGTCCAGTACTCCCTGGTTATCTATTATTTTTGTGGAACTCCGTGACAGAGTATAGATATCTGCTGATGAACTCCAGGATGAAACTGAGCATGTTTTTGAATCCACTTTTTGAGGAAAAAAATATCGAGGGGGATTATTTCTCACTTCGGAACATCTAAAATAATTTACTATGTGATTACCAGGGATTTAGTCTCTTTACCTTATTTTTTTTCTTAAATTGTATCAATCTGCGAATTATACAGTGTCTTATAGCTTATGTATTTTTATACAATTTTCATTCCAGAACCAATCCCTACTGAATCAGGATTCAAAGGCACTCGATTACTTGAGTACTGATGTAATTTTGTTTTCTCTTTTGTATTTTCATCTTTTCCCTAATAATCATATGTTCCTTTGTCTCTATTTTGTTAGCTTAGTCCTAATATATAATATCATGAACAACTTCGTGATTTTAAATCCCTATTTTTGCATGTACTTTCCTTTCGTTTCACTATTATTATTATTATTTGACAAGAAGTTAAACCCATGAGAATATTTTTACTAGTGCGTTCAAATTGTACATAAAGAGTGTAATTCAGCTTTGTTATTAATAATTGATTATGAGCTTTAAATCATACAAACTAGTTTGTTGTTATTATTCATTTCTTGGTTTCCTAGTGTAAAATAGGGCCTCAGCAGCACATCTTCATTCTACTCTCTTCTCTGTCATCATTTTCACCTGGCTCCACGACTGCTCACAAGCGTTTATTCCCTCCTCACATGATCTGCCTGTTATCCTAGGACGCCCAACTAATCACTTTCCATCCGAGAGCCTCACGTGTGATGTCACTTGAAGATCTCCACAGCGTATGTTCAATCGATTTCCTTTCGCATATTTGTTGGATAACAGGTTCTGGGCTGGTTCGCAGACAGAGATGCTTGTTTTCCTTTTCTGACCATCTGATCTTCACTGTCGAGGCGGTGAAGATGTCCAGTGATGAAAGTCTGAAGTCTGTTGCAGAAGCTAGTTTATTGGCTGTTAAGGTATACAGCCCAGTCTCGACTGATGTTTACTTTCTTATTTAATACATAAGTGTATACTAAAGGCTTAGTAGTCTAGACGCTTTGTTTCTAACTTTGTGCCTCCAGTATCTCTTACTAATCTTTGCTTACATAATCAAATGCAAACCGCTGATGAAACCACAGCCTACTCAGCCCAGTGTGTTGTGATGGAGATAAATCTCCTTAGGTTTAAAGGTGTTATGGTTTTTCAGAATCACATTCTTTATCATTAGTGCTTAATTGTTGCGCCCTTTTTTATTCCTATGCTTTCTGAGTGCCACATAGGGCTTCAGCTTTATTTTGAAGTTTCAATGGCGGTTGTGTTTTATTTTACAGCATGGGGCTGCTAGGCTAACATTCAACCTTCCCTCTTTTCCAAGCTTAATACCGTCTAGTTTAGGTTCAGGATTGTACCAGCCAAGAATCAAACCCGAGACTACGTGTGTGGCTGGCATACGAAGCGCAATTGTACAACTGAATAATGACGCAGCTTTCCTTGGTTGAACGGAGATAGGAATGTTAATCAGTTTTTGTATGTTATGAAAGTATAGCTTTCAAACAGAGACGCTTGGGTACAGTGGACCAAAATAAAGGGTTAATACTACTAAGGCTGGGTTATTCATAAGACTATGCAACTTAATTACGTTTATAAGCTAGACTGTACTTATTATAGAATTCACGTATAGTTGTACTTACAGGCGACACTTCTTATTGACCAAGCATTTTCTTCAAGATGCAACCAAAAGAATTGAAAGACAGTTACGTCGACCCAAAGGAGCATGGTTATTTGCGACTGAGGTCCCACCTACCTTTAGACGACAACATTTCTAGCTACTTAAACGTTATAAAACGGAAAAATGTTCTCGACAATACAGGCAAGACTACAGTCCGTGAGCCTCCTGAGTTACCCAAAGGTCAATAGGTTTTAAGAATGAAAGTACTGTAGTACCTGCCATCAAGATGTGATTGCGCAATGTATGTGGGCTCGGCTTAAGGGACATCTTGTCTACGGTTGCGTTTGAAGTGCTCTCTCCTATCGTACTTTGCAGTTTGTTAAAAGCTGACTCTATAGGCGAAGCCTATGTTTCGTTCAAATCGCGTTTACCATTAGCAGGTTACTTAGATGTACTGACTGACTGGTTTCAACGTAGAACTTTGCACGCCCCATTAAGCACACAAAGCAAAAGAGAGAGATAATAAACAGAAATATGAGGTGAAAAGAATACTATTGTGGAAAAACAACGGAACTTTACTGGACAATATAAATCCCAAATAGTGAATTCATCTGCGTCATTGAGAACGGTTTTGAGCCATATCACCGACTGTCTCCAGCCGGTGATTGGTGTTTACCGTCCCGAGGAACCCAACCAGGAAGTGTACATCTCCCTACATGGCTTAAACTAACTATTGTGGATTTTATTGAGTGATGCTGTGTTTTTGTTTAACGCCACTAGCTCTTTTCCAACCTGATCTTATGTCAGCTAAAATTGCCGGTCGAGGGAGGCATGCATAACACATGCCCTAATCATCTCGATCTGTGTAGCTTCGCAACCTAGTCTATTGTTTCCCCCTCCTTACTTAGCACTCGATGCCTAACCTCAATACCGCTTACCCTATTACACCAGTTAACACGAGAGATAGAATGCAGACGCCTATGACCAACCACAGCTAGCTGACCTTCTCATGTCTTCCATTTCCAGTGGCCAGGTCGCCCAGCCATAAAGGAGAACGGAGCGAACTGCTGGGCAGTACACACGCCCTTTGTTCGACATTCAGCCGGATGTCACATCTACGCCAGAGATGGCGTAGGTTGGTATCTGCCGAACGAGATTTCTGTATCCGAGCTGAGATTTCGCCAGCGACCAACTCGTTACGGCTGATGGAACTCCCCGAGTAGGTCAACACGCTCTACCACTTCACTTTCTATCTTTAAGCCCGGAGTCAGTGTAGTCCAGTCCTGTAGCGCCATCTAACATTTGATGATGCACTGCAGAAAAGTGTTTATTATACCATCACTTTTTGGGGAAGACCCTCTAAACCACGCGAAATAGGTATGTCTAAAGATTCCGTTGACATTTCGGAAGTCAACCACAAATTCACCTGAGAAAGAGTTAAGGCATATAAACATATCTACTGATAATCTTTAGCCAGCGGTGGAATAAGATGTGGTGACTTAGCTTCCTTATTTCTGTTCAACTCTTACACTGATGCCATTCTTAAGACTCTTCGTTTTGGGTAGGGATTTTAATGAGTAGCGTACGGACTACTTAATTCAGAAAACTTAGGTACGTAAAGATGTGAGATGGTTTTGATTGGCGAGAACTGTCCTTTTACCTACTCATTGTGGTCGAATAAACCTGAAACACTACACTGACGAGACATTTTCAGAGTAGTCGTAATACTGAGATATGAATTACTAGATTTGACCACGTAGCTTCCATATCGTTTCTGTGGAAATTGTACAGACAAATTATATGCAACAAAATTTCTTTTGAATTAACACACAATGGGGCATTAAGACTTCCTCCAGTAGCTCCGATAATTCGGAAGAATTGACAAGCTGAGACAATTACATATTCTTTCCTTTTGTATACATGCAAAGAAAGCATATCTAGTTATAGAGCACTCAGTACCTAAAGCTTAAAAAATCCAACAGAGTGAATACTTAATCGCACAGGCATTAATAATATTCACGACAACCAGCCTCATTTATAGTGCTTTCATTAAAAAGTCTTCAGTACAATTTAAACGGTACATAAAACCGTGCGCTAAATAAGTTGGGGATTAATGGCAAACCGAATGTTGTTGAAGCCAGGATGATGTATGCGGTTATCTGTACTGACGGGGGCCTAAATATACTATAAACTGGCCTATATGAATTCACTGGATAGTCTAGAACATAAGATCTGGAAGGCAGTCCTAGAATACTGCGGTTTTGATATTAGGACAATAAATATGCATTGGTAACTTATTTGCATGAATGCCGCATTAAACATCTGTAGGCTTTGTCGTTGTCAGTAGTGTATCTGTTAGAACGAACGGACTCATCCATCGGAGCGTACAACACAGAGGGTGTTGCTCAAATGTGGAATCTTGAAGTTTGTCTCATAACATCTGCTAATCAACAACATACATTCGCCTTTCCAGACTACCTATTAAGGAGTGCCCTTTGTTCGTCTGTTTACAGGAATATTAGCAACTAAGTGGAACCATTCGCATTGAGATACCCAAGATGTTCAGAAAGTTGTATAACACCTAGCCTTATATAGCATATTTTTAATTGTGCCATAGTCAATACAATTTTGGAGGTAACAACTTAGAAATCAGCAGCGAGTGTCCCCTAAATTATGAGCATTTAGCTAATGTTAAATGTCCATTTCTTCCTAAACGAATCTTTCTGTAATAAGCGTACATTATTTTGAATTCAAAGCAAGGGAAATAAAACCTAAACTGTAGGACTGACAAGGATGGAAGTCAAAGCTACTCGGTGATCAATGATAACATTGCTAGAAATATATACAGTTTAATTTATTTGCATGAGATTCTAAGAAACGTTCTCCACTTACAAGTTTCGATTCCTAAACTTCTGTGAGTAATTCCAAGTTGCTTATTCAGAGTATTTGATTACCTAAGAAATATTCAACCATGTGAAATACAGTCCTCTGGTCGCGTAATAAAATGCTAGCCCTCACATCCGTTGAAGCACGTCGAAATGATAGTCTTTTTTTTGAATACCCTTTCTTGTTGTTGGCTTATTTTTGAACTTATTTTGCGTTTCACGACCAGTCAATTGATGAAATATTTTATAATCAAGGGAATGTAAATCATAGTTAGTGACATGAAAGTGAAAACATCTTTCCTGCCTAGGCAATTCTGGTGTGATGAATCCACTTCATTCAACAGATAAATACCCCTTTGTCTATTGGTGATTTTCATTCTGGTAAAGAAGTTCCCTGACGATAAGTGGGGCCCACCTTATATACAAGTACCGCTTACAGTGACTTTGACAGTGAAAGACAGATTACCTATAATGGTTCTGACAGTCGACCGATAACTCACATTAATACAAAATGTAGAAAATGAGTGGTGTTCTGGTTGAAATACCTATCGACAACAAATTTAAACCTTCAGTTCGGGAGGCTTTACCGCACGAAATACAAAAAAGTTAGACCATAAAACAAAGAAGTTAACAGCTCAACAGCCAGACGTATGTTAATATCCTACCTATTATAGTGCTGCTAATGATACAACCTAGCTGCCCGAATTTGTTGTCGTTATTATTGATATTATCGTTATCAAAAACCTACCAAATCTATTTTCGTTAACTAGCAAGTTATCTAAAAGCAAAGTTAACTTGAAATTGTATTAAGTTTTGTTACCAATGGAACTTATTTGTTTCGCAACTGCATACATAACCCATTAAAAACTGTAGATGACAACACTATTCCATACGAGGTTATTTTGAAGTATGTGATTTACTAGCGACAAAAATCTTTCTAACTACGAAAAGTGGCCTCACTTTTCACCAGAGGAACTCTTCCACTTCACAAGTGTAAGAGAATG